AGAGCAAGCCGTATCAATGGTCATCGAAGGACCATGCCAGTCAAAGACGTACGAGATCCGGTTGGACACAATACTCCGGGCTAAGAACGTAGCCGTATAGGTTGGTAGGGTCTCGACATCGCTCGCCACCATCGTGGACCAATCGTCGCACATCATACCAACGTAGACAGCTGTGGACGATCCACGAAGGTTCTCCATAGGCAGACCCGCGGTGCAAAGGGAGTCATACACAGTCTCTAAGAGTAGACGCTGCTGCGGATCAACAGCATCGCTCTCCATTGGTTATATATTGAAGAACGGTGCATCGAACTGAGCAATGTTCTCCTCAAGGAAGTAGGACTTGGTGACGTTCGTGGTGCCATGGTGGGTTGCCTCGGGGTGATAGAAATGATCAACGTTGAAGCGATCTAGAGGGACTTTCTTGGAAGGGTCACGAGGGTTTCTCAACAGCTCCCAGAGCTTGCTGGGGTTGTCGCACCCACCTGGAAAGCGACAGGCAGTACCGATGACGGCAATTGGTTCAGGCATGGAGGAGAGGCCTTTTGCCTTTCGATGATTCGTGTTGAAAAAAGCGAGAAGCTCTGAGAATACAAGATGATTGCTGAGGTAGTTAATTGACACCGAGAGAATGATCTTGTCCATTATATACGTATTTGTCCTTGCCCTTCGTCGTATACTAGGCGTCTTCCTTCAGGCTTAGACCCGTGGACCTATCTGGGCGCGTATCCATATCCCACCGAAAATTTCCGAACACAACACGCTGAACTCCACTCTGCGCGCCTGCTTTAGGTTGGATCCTGCGGCAATTCTATTTCAAAACTCGGTTTTCTAGTGAGCGATGTGTCTGTAGAGCACGGGAGTTGTAACAAACCTTTACCATTGCCATGCGAGGTTCGGATCCATCGTGAGAGCTGGGCCTGGGAACACATGACTGGACCCCATGAAAGGAAACCCATAATAAAAGTTATCTTCTAGATCGTTTCCATTAAGCCCTTGAGCTGGGAAAGGAATCGGCAGAGCTGAACCATCGTAAGCAAGGACAAGTTGGAGAAATTAAGACGACCAACTGACCTAGATTCAGGGCGAAGTCATTGTTCGTAGCCTGGCCCTCTGTGCCCGCGTCAGAACTGCTTGATTGTTTAGCCAGGACAATGCTGAGAGTGTCTGCTGCTGTCTTTGCTTCCACCGATGAATCCCTTGACCTTGTCCAAATGTCATGTGCCCTTGTTAGCGCTGCTATGATTTGGTCTAAGTCGTGGCCATCGGTCAGAGCATATGAGCTGCTATGTCTCTGTCGGGCGAGGAAGCACAGTAGCATCGTGGCTGTCAGAAACTCATGTTTCATGAAGGAGGAAGCTCGCCATCGCATCATATAAAGCTGGCCATCTAGGCTAGTTTCGTCGTCAAGTATTCGCTGGATCTCCAAAATTCCCAAGGCTGCCTCTATGCAAGAGCTGCGCGAGTAAGAGTCTGACGTCCGCCCATCGGAAGATGCGGCTGGGTCCTGGTTTACATACTTGCAGTGTAGCATGATCTGGCCTTTATGGAACATCAGTCTGAGGAAGAGCCGATGCATAATCACTTGCGGAGGATCCGTCACCGCCGCGGCCATGGCCTTCATGCGGAGGTAGGCAGGGACCGTCGCCTCCGCATCATGCAGAATGCGGTCTAGTCGCATTACCTCGTCGTAGGCCACCGGTCGCACCGACGCGGTGAAATCGACGATCACACCCAACGCGGCAAATATCCGCCGCCGAGCGACAAGGTGCGAAACCGTGGTGATCTCCGTCTCCGGCCTGGACGGGGGAAGCTCCACGCAATCCTCATCGAAGTCCGAGTCACTCAGATTACGGGGCTCTACGGTGTCACATTGCCAATCCTTGATCATGCGTGGCATGCCCATCTGGGTGGAAATCAAGATATCTCCTTGCAGGACGGTGGCCCAGGCCCGCCGTCGCATTTCACCGACAAATGGGGTTATCCCCGGCAAGTGCGATGGATCTCGGTGGTAACCCATGCGTAAAGCTATATTGAGCGAGATCCCGGAGAGGATCCAGATGTCCCGGTCGGCATCCTTCCGGATGGAAAACTCGATGGTCAAGTAGTGGTATAGTGTTTCAAACACGTAACGCCCGGATTTAGTGTACTCACCCAGAATGAGGCACTGTACTATCTTTTCGCGGTACGTATCGACCGACGGATAACGGACTCCCGGGGATGAGCTGGAGTCTGCCGCATTTGAAGACAGCACGGCGAGACATATCATAGAGAAGAGGAGACCCAGCCACATGACCGAGGTTTGGGATGGATTTCCCCAGAATCGTTCGTACTAGATAGTCCATATCGTCAGAACGACGCTCTACTTGTGCTATTCGGCAGAGTCGTTCACATACCTCGCGTGAAAACTGACCGCTGTGCAGACAAGCTGAATAGTGCGATGCCCTGTATTAGTCGAAATTCGCATATCGTAGGTCAGGGGCTTACATGGCGCCAAGTCCAGCCGATTGAAGTACTGGGAAACGTAGCGATCGACAACGGGCCTATCGGGCAGGGCTGCCAAGATATCTTCTTTACTCGCTGATTTACATCCATACAGCAGAAAAGGAGGCAGCAGGGCAGGGTTTTCAATGTTCCCATCGTCTCCCCGTTTAAGCTGCTCCTTAATATCGGCGATCCCATCCAGGATGGCGGCCCAATGGGTTTCTCCCACATACTGGGCGTCTGAAGAGCTAAACCATACACTTCTGCCATCGGACTGAGCTGGAGACTCTTCTGAGTTGATGGGCCCTACCGGTGAGACTTGAGGAACCGACCCGACGGGATGAGGGTCCTCCCTGTCTTGGCTATTGGACGTGGTCTTTTGCATTAGCGAAACGACAATCTGCTCTAACTGGGCCAAACGGTCCTGAACGGTTGCTTGGGGGCGACCCCTGTGGGTCTCATATGGCCTGGGCGCCCGTTGACGCTGGGGAATGGTAGCCGCGGGCGATTGCGGGGCTTGGTTGTTAGGATAGCACACGAGAGCGCCAATCCACGAGCGGTGCATGTCGAACAAGGCTGTTTACGATCGCATCGGAGCCTATCGGGAGATTTGGTTAGAGTTCATTTACAGAGTCGAAGGTTTCTCGTACTAACTTCCTCCGACGACATCGATTACAGGAGAGCTGGGGTTTGCTCCGACGATTGATGGAAGCCGGCTGGGGGCTAGGTTCGTCCGCGAGCGGATCCATTGTGGCGGGGTTATACAGGTGTACTTTTCGCAGCTATACGACCGTATGATACTATATGCGGAAGGCTGAATCAAACCACTTATGTAGCAGACAGCTGTTCAAATAAGATGAAACGTCCGATAGTGATCGGACGTAGACACTTGTCCCACCATGCTCTAACCTGATCCAGCAAAGCGCGGTTGCTGCGTGGAGGATCAACTGTCTGACCAGTCGGACGAACATTATCCTCTGCACATTCCTCCGTTCTCTCCTCCGCTGCAGCTTCTCCTCGATTTCTCCATCCATTATTCCCCATTCATATTAATCCATTTTTCAATCATCTTATATACGACTCCGCCATCTCCGTATGTTCGTCCGCTCCGCTGTTCCAAGGTTCGTCCAGCTGCCATCTAATCGTCGCTTCGAACAGCTAAATTGAGCCACTATGAACCTTCTGAACCCTGGTCCCGGCTATACGCCAGTCCGCTCGGCCTTTATGGCACGGAGGAAACAATGTTCAATCTGTGCAGTATAAAAGTACGGTATGAAGCTCGTCTTTAGAATTCCCTTCATCCAACCATTGAGAACAGCGCGCGAAATGAAACTCTCCCGCAATAACGAGACCGAAGCCAGTGCGAACACAGATGAGGAGGCAGCCAAGCTGCCGTCACATCAACCGCAGGACGATGCAGTCGACTGGGACGGCCTAGATGACCCCAAGAATCCCCTCAACTGGCCTGCTACCAAGAGTTTTGGTCATGTGGTGATTGTGGCCGTCTTGTCGATGGTCGTGTAAGTCGGCCCTTAGGAGAGACAAAACAACCGACCATGCTAATCAAGGTACTAGCAACATCGCCTCGACCATGGTCGCTCCGGCCATGGACGACGTCGCTAGGGATCTGGAGATCACTAATATGACCCTGTCAACACTCGCCGTCAGTATCTATCTGCTGGAGTTTGCATTAGGTCCTCTCGTGATCTCCTCGCTCTCCGAGATGTACGGGCGTCTCATCGTCTATCATACTTGCAATTCCATCTTCGTCATTTTCGTTATCGCCTGCGCTTTGAGTCACACTCCCGCCCAGTTTCTGGTCTTCCGGTTCATATCTGGCTGTGCGGGAGCGGCGCCGCTTTCCCTTGGTGGCGGAACGATCGCCGATATTATCCCAATCGAGAAACGCGGTGCGGGAGCAGCCTTGTTTGGCCTGGGTCCCCTTCTCGGACCGGTATTTAACATCGACCCACTAATTGAAGTATACTAACCAACCTAGGTTCTGGGACCGGTGATTGGAGGTTTTGTTGCCGAGGGAAAGGACTGGCGATGGACCTTTTGGGTGGTCGCGATCCTCGTAAGTGGTCTTGTTCTCGGCTGGTATCCACGATTCTAATAATATGACAGGGAGGAGCAGCGGGTATCGGCACGCTGATCTTCATGCGCGAAACACATCCCAACACCCTGTTGGAACGGAAGGCCGCACACTTGCGACGCACGACGGGGAACCCTTACCTCCGATCGAAGCTAGATCGTGGACTCACAGGGCAGCAGATTATTGTCACCGCCCTTGTGCGCCCAGCCAAACTCTTGCTCTTCTCGCCGATCGTGCTCGTCATGTCCATCTACGTGGCTCTCATCTTCGGCCTTCTATACCTCCTCTTTGCTACCTTTAGCATGGTCTTCGAAGGCCAGTATGGATTGACCACCGGCTTTTCTGGTCTGGCCTACCTAGGCCTAGGTATTGGCGAACTGGTAGGGCTAGTCACATTTGCCATCCTGAGTGACCGGATCTTAAAGGCAAAAATGGCAGCGGATAATGTCCAGGGACCTAAGCCCGAGTACCGGCTGGTCCTGATGATGTGGTTCCCGCCAGTCATTGGACTTGGACTGTTCATTTACGGCTGGACGGCCTATTACCAGGTGCATTGGATGGTTCCGATCTTTGGAACATTCATTGTTGGGTTCGGGGCGTTCTTTGTTATCATGCCCTCCCAGCTGTATCTGGTGGATCTGTACGGGTCAGAAGCAGCGGCATCTGCGCTAGGGGCCAACATTCTCCTCCGCTCAATGTTCGGGGCCTTCCTGCCGCTTGCTGGGTCGCATATGTATTCGACGCTCAACTACGGATGGGGTAATACGCTGTTAGCATGCCTAGCACTGGCATTTGCGCCAGTGCCGGTTCTGTTCTATCGTTATGGAGAATGGCTCCGGAGTCGGGCGACACTGACGCTGTGAATGTTTTGCAAGATATGTATAGAGGGTGCTAGACCGCACGAAATTCTTAAGAATATGATGTGATATTTGTGTGGATAATGTCGTTTCGGTCTGGGCGTTAAATTTAAAGCAACGATGAGCTACTGTTCTTTCTCAAAGGGCAGTATTACTTCCCTCTTTCCTAACTTGTCCGCACACTCCTTGGCAGTGCAACCATTGGCATCTGTAATTCTCATGTCTGCTCCTTTAGTGATCAAATATCGGACCACACCCACTTTTCCAAGCTCAGCTGCTTTGTGTAGGGCTGTGCCTAGGGGCATAAAATAGAACAGTCTCCAAGAAGAATAATCGTCCTGATACATGGTTGCGTTGATAGTCGCGCCTCCTTCGATGAGGAGTTGTAGAACCTCGATAACATCCGGTTGTCGATCAATTGCATGATGAAGAAGCTGCCCTTTCTTAACATCGCCGCCACAGCTTAGCATAAGCCTGATCGTAGATATCGCGGCGGGTTCAGCTGCATGTGAGAGTGGAGTGAGGTCAATACTACACCGACGATTCGGATCTGCTCCACGATGAAGAAGCCACGCGGTCATATCTTCGTCTCCAATGGCATAATTGAAAGAGGTAAAATCCAATGAGCTGTGACGTTTGAGAAATTCCGAGGCGCTCAAATTCTGGGACTCACCCGAGAACTGGTTAAGCTCGCCCATTGGTTGATTGATGTCCCATCCATTGTCAAGGAAAATCTGGAGGGCATTCTTGGCCTTCGCCTCTGTTGCGTGCAAGGCGTGCAGCTGATTCATAGGTAAGCTGTGACAGAAAAGTGCTTTGATAAACTGTATCTCATCACGTCCGATAGCTTCAATCATGATCTCATAGAGGTCACGTATACCGAAGCTTGTCGACCTAGTGCTTGAGAGTTGTGATTGCAACATTTCCTGGAATGCAAGGATATCCCCATTCATGTAAAGGCGCGCAATTTTTCCAAAACTTCTTTTGACGTGCGGGTTGAATTCGAGGATATTCAGTTAAACTTATAGAAGGAAGTTCTGGGGGAGGTTGGATGTCCGTGCTAGATGACGGCGAAGAAACCTGCCTGAGCTTAGGAAGTGCGAGGTCATTATTTTCCAAGTCACGAGACCAATCTCAGCATGAGCCTGTCAGATGCTCCGGGTTTCCAAGCTTCCAAGCTTCGAAGGTTACACGGACCAAGAGTGTCCACATGTAGGCAACTACTGCACCATTTCCTTCACTTCTCATTTTATCTTCACTTTCTGCTCACTTTGTCCTCACTTTACATTGATATTACCTTGATATTCTCTGCTGTCGTCGAATCCGAACCCCCACTCCCTATATATGCAGAGTGGGCGGACTCCGTCTGGCCTCCTCAGAATGAGGCTGACAACCAGTTCCATACATGGAGCTACAAGGAGGGGCCCATCTCCATCAAAATCGTCGCTGCGCCGCTGGGATGGATCTGCCCTCACTCCCAAAAGCCAAGGAGGCTCCTGGCCTTCCCTGACTTCCCGAAGTCGAAGAAGTGGACAGCCGACTCGCTCTCCCCTCCCGCTTCTTACAACAGTGATATGGCGCACTGGCGGCTATGCACTGCCATACCCCTTCTTCTTGTTCTTCATTTTTTCTTTTCACTGATTTGCATCTTATAGCCACTTAAATAGTGGATCCGCTTGTCCTGTTTCTAAGGCAGGCCCCCTCCCTGCCTTTTCTTTAAAAAGTTATATTATCATATTGTTCTTTGGTATGGGTTGGGTTTTTGGGGTCGACTTTTTTATTTTTGTGTTGCGTCGGTTGTATCATTGTCGTTCTCATGAGAAGTTTCTATTCTTTATAATGAGACCAGGTTTTCCTTCTTAGATTCTTTTTCTTAGACTCCTTATCAGTATCTATACTTCTATTTACAAAGAAGCTAATGTAGCATAGATACCGATAGATGGGAATGCAGAGGGAATCCTTTAGGAGATACTCTGGAACTGTAACGAGCATGAGAATGGCTGATTTTACTTAATCGATAAGAGACCCTACTGCGTGGTCGGGACTGCAGAACATCGATGACATTGCCCGTCTTTGAAGTAAAGTCATTATCAATGGAGGTGCTCTCAATCCCCTTGGGCTGGCCAAGAAGTTGCAGGGGTTGGTTACCGAAGACGAAAAGTTGGGTTGACCACGAGATGTCGTGTTGGTTTCTGCTATCCGACAACAGCTCTCATCTTTGTTTGATAGGGCTACGGCGGCTAGTCTCGTTAGCAAGACAAATTTCAAGATTCAATGGTTCGAATAAGCCTACTTTCTTTGACATTATCGGACTTAGCGACTTCGGATCCTTTTTCCTCTAGCTGGTCGTTGGGAATTGATTCAGGCTTAGGGGAACAGGTACAATTACATATTTGACCATAGACTGATTAGGATTGATGGCAACTCATAAGCCAAATGCGGTACTATAGGTTTGTTCTGTGGAACGTGGAAGCCCTAGTCGCTCAAATCTGCCCAAAATTCTGGGGTGCCTAAAGGCTCTGTATCCCTGATAGAATCATTCTGCACTAGTCTTTCCTCCTTGCCTAAGGCGTCAGGATCATCGCTTATAACGATAGGATTGGTTTCCGAGGCCTTATCCTCGGTATCGTCTTTTCTTTTATAACGATAGGATTGGCTTTCGTGCCCCGGTCGTCGGTACCGTCGTTTATAGGGATAGGGTTAGCCTCCGAGTTCAATAGACCACTCAATGCTCTGGTATTGGCCATAATGCCTAGTTGAGTCAATTTGGAATATTTGGTTGGCTAGACTAAGGCGTCAAAAACAGGGGAGCCTATTACTAGCCGATTAGCAAGGTTTCTTCCCTCGAGAGTAAATTTTCACACCTTGAGCTTCTTCAATATTTGTGAAAGCTTTATTATTTGAGCCAGTCCGGATACTAGGGGTTATATAGATGCATTTATGTGTAATAATCGGGAACACGAACGTGTCTGAGATCAACAGCATTGGAAGGATATAAGCTCCTAGAAGGTATGACTAGGCCCCGTTTCCAAGATTAAGTATGATTGGTCCCATATTGATGTTAATTGCCCATATGCTCCTAGGAATCGTGCGAGTAGATCAGTTGAGGCGCTAAAGTTCGGAAATAAATTGGTAAAATGTTGCTCTGCTCCTCAGTAATCAATGCGCGCTGCTAGTAACTAATATCGAGACGGAGATTATCTGTAGCCAGAAGCTTCCTTCAACCTGGCTCCTAGGGAGCTATTTTACAGCACTATGAATTACGCGAGGGTTCCTATGGCTAACGATAAACTATGAAGTCTTCTATCCTCGCCGTGGGAAATCATTCTTGCCAAACTAATCAAGCCGATTTCGAGAAAAGGCTGTACTGCTTCCACAATATAGAGATATTGCATGGGGAACGCTGCGTTGCAATTCAATCTAATACGAGCAAGGCGAGAGGGGCGGCCGGCGAAATCTGGGTCGGTCGAGCACTTTTTATATTGATATTTATCGGGTTTTGAGCACCTCTTAGATAGATATTTCAAACAAACGAGGCAGATCCGCAGGCTTTCTTAGTTGTAATATAGTAGAAGAAAGGAGGATGGCTACGGATTGACTTCACGAAGATGATGCTCGAGCTAGAATTTCCGGTATCAAAAATCTGATCTGAACGCTATATACACATAGAAATCAATATCGGTTCTGACCCAAGTAGCCCAACTCAGTCTCGAGTCGATGCTTGCTTTCAATATGACGCTTGAGATTATCTTTCCTTCCGTTTGCAAAATATTTGCAACCAGGATGAGGACAATAGGCCATGTCGTGACTACTGACCTTATGGACTGATCGCTCGTGTCGCCTGAGGTCTCTTGGGGTTGCAAACCCCATGTCGCATCCGTTCATGAGGCATTTGAAGGGACGTGTATGTGTGTTCATGTGTTTCCTTTTGGAACATCAGAGTAAAGTTGGGAACGTAATGAGGTATGTAAGAAAAGTAAACATACTTGAGCAGTCCAGGAAATTGGAATTCCTTTTGGCAGTGCTTACACTGTAGCAAAGAGACGTTGGCTGCCGCAGAAGATGAGGGATGCTGCTTAGTTTTTGATGAGGTAAAATCTACGTCGGAAACAAAATCTTCTTCCTCGAATTGCTCATCTTGAGAATATTCTTCTGATTGTTGTAGGGTGACTTGCTGCTGATGTTGCTCTTCATGGATTGTACTACCGGGATACTGGGGTTGGGATGTTGAAATGAGAAATGCACGAGGACCAGTGATGTCCAACACGTGTAGCCACGCTGGATCGACAAGTCCAGAATTCAGAAGTTGTTGTTGTTGTTGTTGTTGTTCAAGAAGATTGGACTGTCGGTCCCTGACTTTTTGTGGGGGTTCTGGTATGTGGGTTTGCCGCGGAGAAAAGGTGGAATGAGTAGCTTCACTTTTTTATAACCCCAGTACACAAGTCGACCACAAATTGGATAAAATAGAGAGAGTAGATTGGAAGACCAGCCTCTCAATTAAAGCAACACAGAGAATAATACTCTTGTCGATGAATGAATGAAGGAGAGAATAAAAAGCAGACTTAAAAGGGCGGAAAAGGAGTGGCAGTGGCAGCGGGTGAAGTAAAGAGCGAAGATGACAGGCCCGCTGCTCCTGAGAAAGAAAGAGAGAAGAAAAAAGAGCAAAAGGATAGAGAATCGCCAGCCCTTTATGCTTTTCGAATGGCCCGTTAAAGTTGACCGACTCGCCTTGAGTATGCACCTCGACTAGTCTACCCCAAGATGGTCTCAGTCAGCAGAGGGACCGTGCCAGGGGGGCCTCAAAATGCAGTGTTCTGATTGGCGAGGGGGTCAGCCATGTCGCAAGCCAGCCGGACAGTCAAGCTGCAATTCCACTATCGGCCTTGAAATTTTGAGTTGGAGGATATATGAATTGGGCATCGACAGAGCCGATCAGAAGGGGCCTCAAAATGAAGAACTATGATTGAACGATCGGCCCGCAGAATACGCGCTGAATTGACAAATTTCCTGGTTAGGATATGCATATGGTCCATTCTATGTCTAGGTCGCTACAATTCCCTCCAGAATCAAGCTCCCCGGATCAGATACAGTTTTGTGTTGAGGTCGAAGGACCCGACATAAAAGGCCTTTATTTAAAGACGACCATTTCCCCACAGCCGAATTGTTTTCATGATCATTCACAGATAAATATAACGACTAAAGACCACTCTTAAACAATGTCTTCTATTTTTTGCTGCTCTTCTCCATCTCCTTATCGACCAGCCCATCTTACGCACGAGGCCAAGTTTGACCTATTTATTGCTTGGGCTAAAGGGTCTGAATCATCCCCCTCTGTTGTTTCAGCTTCGTTCTTCCAGAATCCTCATAATCCGCCACCTTACGCGATTCAATTTGTTCGACAAGTCAATTTTGGTGCTATCGAGGCTAAAAGATATTTCATCCCTCACCCCGAAGCAAGTGGAAGTCGGGTGGAATTCGTGGAGATTACCGAGCAAGATTTGATCGCTAGGAATTTCCAGAAGCTCAATTCGTATGTTCAATGAACAGATGACATCTATTGAAAAGTACAGCAAACTCATTGAGTATAGGTACAAGAACTTCAAGTGCACAACGCACAACAAGTTCTTCGAAATCAATCTGTACCAGAAGGACCCAGTTAATCGGCACCATTGGCGATTGAACATTGCTCGGCCAGCTAGTGATATTGATCTTTAGATCATAGTATGACGGAGACCGCGAACTGTTTAAATTGCAACAATTGTTTTATTTCAAACATGATAAAAATATTCAAGATCAGTGTGATATTGGAGGCATAGCGTATCTTTGAAACAGACAGATCATGCAACCACGACCTAGACCAGAAGTTTGCGTTGCAGAAACAACACAATAACACACCAAATTTGAATCTTGGCCATATTTCTACCATTCACCCTCATACTTGTATTTCAGGTACGGAGTTTTGCCTCTGGTACATGTATAGACCGCAACTGGAAGTTATGACTAAATGAGATTCTGGGAAATAAATCCGTTGTTGTGAGACAGCATTTTCTAAAGCAAAGACGCAAACGCAGACTGGCAATAACTTGGCATGTGACTGAGACACTCAATCTACTCTTAGGCAGTATACATGTATAGATAATTCATGTTCCTGTTAGGTTTCTTCAGTGAATTTTGCAAGTTGATAGCACGTATGATCTGAATTTGTCTTATGGGTGATTAATTATGTTTGCTCTTTATAAAATGGTCATTGCGCGTCGCGCTCAATACCTTTACAGCTGTCCTAGCCTGGTATGCGTATGTGTATGTATCATCGAAATGCTTCATTGTAGATGTGTATCAATGCTGCGGCCCGCCCCACACACAGCCACAGTAACTGATAGAGAACGGTATATAATAACAGAATAGACGACGATGGTAATCAAGAATTTCCGTATCAGATATCCAAACTCCAAATCAAACAAAGCTCTGCAACTCGGCGTCATACTGGCTAGCCTCCGTGCAAGTGTCCTTCCACAATCTCTCCACAAAGGTCTGTCCGGCTTTCTCCTGGAAGATGGTTGCGCCGCTGAAGTAATAATTAGGATTGAATATTGATGAGTACTCAGTGCAGGCGGAAACACTTACGGATCCACCTTGTTACTCTGCAAAAACTTTCCATGCGTCTCCTGCCCGGCAACAACAGCGGCATAGATAATCGCCCTTGCCCCCTCAGCCACCGTCCTCGCTATCGACTTCCTCAACACGAACATAATCGGCTTCAACCATAACGGCAGTCCACGGTCGAATTTGGTAGCCACCAAACCAGGACAGGGATCGTTGATGAGAAGCTCCAAAGATGGAACGATGCTTGCTAGTCGTTGTACAAACGCATGCACGACGAATTTGCTATCCGCGTACCGCTGTAGCCCGCTGTACGTCTGTTTATTATCGTAGTGTTCGATCACAGTCTCGGCATCGGGTAGAGGCTTTTTCGCCAGCGAGTGGAAGTTTTGGTTATTGGACCCGACGAATGTGAGACGTGATGGTTTGGCAGTTTACTGCCGTTGCGCGAGGAAGAGGGAGGAGTTCCAATGTAACCAAGAAATGAGTATAGCAGTTGACCTGCATGACACGTTCATGGCCACTCTTGCTAGTTTCGTAACTCATCAGATTGACACCACCGTTGCAGATGAGAAGATGCAACTCAGGGACCTCGGTGCGGACACTTTTTGCAAACTCCACGCCGGATTGAAAATCGTCGAGATCGAGATGGAATAATTCGATCGTGGCGTTTGGGTTGACCCTTTTCACTTCCGGGTGGGCGCGCAGTGAGGCGACGGCTTCTTGACCTTTGCTGGTTGATCGGACGGTGATGACGACGCGTGATGATTTCAGAAGGAGGAGCTGGCGAGCGACTTCGTAGCCGATTCCCGTGTTGCCGCCGGTGATGATGGCGGTTTTCCCGGCCACACTGGCGGGGGTGGGGATAGGGGGATTGAGGGTTGGCCCATGGTGAGGCGTTTAGATTGAGATAATTTCTACGTGAGAGAAGGATGGATTTTGTCTATATAGAATTTACGAGAGACACGAAAGGAAAACTGCAGAATCATCCAAGACTAACTCATTCAGTTGTTAAGCTCGGCCGATAAATAACATTTGTCATCACAAAGAACTTCTCGGCTGACAATATTGCAGATAAACGTTATCTAGTTGCAGTTAATCTGACATGAAAACCGAATACATAATCACCAAGACGGCCGAGAGGAATATGATGAATCACAATCTCAACCAGAGACACGACACTCAAGTATAACCCGAGCTTGATATTCGCCATGAAAATAGCACCCCCAGAATGACGATCCTCCAAATCCAACGAGAGAACATGAAGAGGCACATTGACAATCCACGGCCCAAGACCCAGCAGCCAGAAAACCGGCGACAGATTCGCACGCAGGCTGGCCAGTATAAAAAGCCCTATTTGCAGGGCTCCCAGGGCTGAAAGGAGGATACGTACGTGCCTGCCCATCAGAACCGCCAGTGACTCGACTCCGATCTTGACGTCGTCAGGTCGGTCTTGGGTAGCGTAGAAGATGTCAAAGTAGATCACCCATGCGGCTGTTGCAAAGAATAACGGTAGAGCGGAGTCGAGGTTGTCGAGTGTGTGGGTGACGCAGACCCAGCCTGGAAAGACAGCTCCACCGATAATGACTCCCAGCACGACTTGGGGAAAGGGGAAGAGGCGTTTCATCAAGGGGTAGATGAGGCTGAGGGCCCACACGGGCATGAAGCTGAGTAAGACAGTCCCTCCGAGTGTGGCATGTGTGAGGGCCAACGTGCCGGGGACCCAGCATAGAAATGCCAGCACTGCTTCGGTGGTGGAAATGAGGCCTGCGAGTAAAGGGCGGACTTTGCATCGCTCTACATCTTTGTCGAATCCTTGATCCAGAATGCCACTGAGCTTGTCAGCTGTTATTCAATACTAAAAACGCTAACTTACTTCCAAGTGCAAAATGTACAATGGGCAGCAGTTACACTGGCCCAAATCCCAAAGAGCATTTGACCCAACGCGCCCAACCCAATAGACGCATCATATGTCCCGGCGGCTGCACAGGCTCCCCAGATACATGGATACCAGCATAGCCAAGCTTCGCGAGTGTGCAAACGGGCTAGTTCCCAAACACCGCGGATCGGGTTGCGGGTGGATGAAGGAAATAGGGTCGGATCAGCCTGAGGTTGTTTTTCAGAAATGTGAGCCATATTGAATGTGCGTTTGTCATCAAGGCTGTAGAAGGTGGGAGTGTTAGGGCTTGGGATCGATTGTGAACAATGGCCCTGTAAAGAGAAACTTATAGTATCCTTGACTGCGCGGTGATATCTAAAGGATCTCCACTCATTAAGCCGGGAAGGATGCTAGTTCGTCTCAGTCCATCTGAGCTGCTCGTATCTGTTTGGTCTATTAGAATCGGCGAATATTTTGCTCGGCCGACGAACCATTCAATCAACACTTAACGGCCGAGACTGGTGTGATCTAAGCCCTAGATTGATCGGTCTTGCAGAATTTGCGCACTAATGATAGGCAGTCTAACCCGTATAATAGCCGCTCGAACGGAATGCTGAGACTATTATTTATCTAACCAGGAAAAAATCCATGCCGAAAATGACAACAATGCTAATCTACACAACCATCATGGGTGATAAACCTCTTTCAGACATGCTGGACTCATATTGGCTAGTGAAGACTTTAAGATTCGATATCTGCAAAAAGGCTGTAGTAGTCAGGTAGATAGGTAGGTAGGTGTACCCGGATATAATTATAGTAGTGTGCCAAAGCGAGTTTGTTAACATGCCCAAAAGGAAAGGAGACAACTTAGAATCATATCCCGGCGCCTCCTAGGCTAAACGCAGAGACGCGGATATTTTATTAACACCGGTGACTATATACCGAACCCCACTACTATAGTATCCATTTACTCCCCCAGGGTCTAAACTAGTGTTGTCGGGCTTTAGTCTGTCACTCAATAACTTCACCATATCATGTCAGCGTCAAGGATCTATGTTTCGCTTATTTATTTGTTTATTCGGCAAGTTGACCATAGTCATGGTCCGTGATGAAGAAATGAATATACTAGTAGACTATTTGGCAGATTTCTAATATTGCGACATGATGGCGTGTTGCCAATAACGTGCTACTGGGTGAATATCACTCTAAGCCACCTATTCCCCCGCAGCTATAAGATCAAACGGTAGTCCCATTTTCTCCGCTTATTGTCAGAAACAAAATGGGAAGCATAACAGCAGCCCCTTTTCAAAATCCTTTTCAAGATGTCCCAGCGGGCCGAACAGGTAAATACTACAATTGACACATACATGAACCCGAATTGAGACAGCATGTTTAGATGGCCTCGCAACTCTCGTTGGACAGTTCCGAGAGGATACCGACCCCAACAGAACTGATCTTCTTGTGGGCGTGTATAAGACAGAGGAAGGGAAGGCGTACGTGCTACCAAGTGTGAAAGAGGTATAGATATAACGACCCGAAGTTTACCGTTCTACACCCCGAACATGCCACTAAATCTTCGATATTTACGTTGCAGGCAAAGAACAGGATATTCAATGATCCTAACTGGCATCATGAGTATCGCCCTTCCGCTCTGGGTTCTCAGATTTATAGGGACTTGAGTGCCAATTTGCTTTTTGGGGCAGACCATCGTCTTTTGCGAGAGAAAAGGTAAGGAAGACTGATATTCTCTTTGAAGGATCGGCACAGAGCTCACTTTCTTTCTTAGGATAGTTTCGACGCAGACGCTCGGCGCAAGTGGTGGCTGCCATGTCGGCGCAGTTATGTTGAAAAATCATTATGGACCGTGGAAGAAGAATGGGAACCCCGAGATTTTCCTTCCGAGCGACTCGTGGTGTAAGTCTTCGTTTAGTCGCACATACGAAAATAATTCTAACCAGATCCTAGTGAATCATCCTTTCGTATTCACGTCTGCTGGGATTAAGACCAGTCTTCTACCTTATTTTAGCAGCAAGACAAACACATTCGACTTCGAGAGGTTTTCAGAAGCCATCAAGTCGTTGCCCGCTCAATCCGTCATCCTTCTCCAGTCTGGAGCCCAGAACCCAACTGGATGTGATCCATCGCTAGATCAGTGGCGAGAGCTGGCCTCGATCTTCTCCCAGCGCGGTCATTTGGCATTCTTCGATGCTGCATATCCCGGGTTTGCCTCAGGAGACATCGACACAGATCTTCAAGGTGTTCGTTTGTTTGCAGAGCAGGAAGTCCCGCTTGTTTTCGTCTCAACATACGGGAAATCCTTTGGGCTTTACAGCGAACGCGTTGGAATTCTCTCGATTCTTGTTCCAAGCGAGGAAGTGGGAAAGAATATAGAGACGCAATTGAGACTACTCGCACGAGCAGAGTCCGGCGCGCCACCCGATTTCGGGTCCAAGATTATTGAAACCGTTTTATCAGATGAGGTCTTGGAGCGCCAGTGGCGGGAGGAAGTGCGCGATATGGCGAATCAACTCAAGCACCGTCGAATTGCGCTAAGAGAAGCATTGGAGAAATTGGAAACACCAGGCAACTGGCGACATATCACTGACCAGAACGGGATGTTTTCGTAAGTGTTACCAAGACCGGACCTGGGGAGACTCACCATACTGATACTCTACAGATATGTTGGGCTGTCTGTGGAACAGGTCACTCTTCTCCGTAACAAGTACCATGTTTATCTTCAAGACTCTGGGAGAATATCTATCGCGTACGTCTGATAAGCAGGTTTGGGAATAATTGTTAAGCTGACATACTTCTTTCCCAGTGGACTCAACAACTTCAACATCCATTACACTGCTCATAGTATCAGTGCGGTCGTCAAAGCTACAACCTAAATGGACTTGAAGGGGTTGTTCCTTTGATTAAACTACGCAGGCGTGCAGATTTGATTCCAGAGCATGACTTTCACTCCTTTGGTCATATGGTCAGAGGCCCTGGCATTGCAATATCAGATCCTCGGTTGGAGTCGCCGCGATTTACAGCTAGAGGGCGAAATCACACACCATATAGTTTTTTGAATAAATATTTTTTTTTCCCGCAATAGCGTGGCACAACCTGACCGAAAGAATCGAAAACTCAGTTACAATTTCCTGCAACTGATTCTTGTTCTCCAAAGAGATTGCTTAGAGACGACTTGCATGTCCGAGGTATTCAGGACCTTTGTCCCGGGCACTTGCATCCGCTGCTGCAACGGACCAAGCGTGCAAAAGCCTTCCACTTCATGTGTTCTTATTTTGAGCCACTTCGGGTAGCGCACGTTGGTCAGATACGCGTAATGCGTGGGTCGTAGCCAAGGACGTTTTGAGTGCAGATGCCCCTGACCTCGGGATATATATATATGATTACTAGCCACAGTCTGGTGCGTAAGAGGAATGCGAAAATACCCCGAAATATTTGTTCGCTCAAGACGATACACCAGGTTACAAATAAGAATGAAAATACTTGCCAAATCACCTTCGAAAAAGCAAGGCTTGGCTATGGGTTAGGGAGGTAAGAAAGAGAGCGAGAGAATATTTACCGGCACCCCCTATCCTTGGCACTCGCAGGGGTTCCATAACTCAGTTGGTTAGAGTGTGGTGCTAATAACGCCAAAGTCGAGGGTTCGACCCCCTCTGGAACCACGTTTCTTTTTTAGCTTTTTGGCCTCATATCTTTCCTCCCTCTCAAGGTTTTATTGGCAAGCATCCACCAATCAACTGGGCTTGTGGTTTAGTGGTATAATACTCCCTTAGCATGGGAGTGGTCCGGGGTTCGATTCCCCGCGAGTCCAGCTCTTTTTGCTTTTCCGGAGATCGTTGCCAAGACATAATGGCCCGGACAGCAAATATCATTTCAATGCTGGTCACCAGTGATGGGCTTCGCGCGGGATTCGGGCCTGTACATAGCGAAAACACCAACACTATTTATTTCGATGCGAAGCCCGCGGGAATCACAGTGCATGGTAACATGCGAGAAAAGTCGATTGTTGCTAAAACTAACTTTTGACGGAACTATCCAATTCGACCACCTCCCCATGAACAGGTGCGAGAAACCCCCAACAAACAAAGCTCCTAGATGGTAAAGATGCCTTTTTACTTGGCAGGTTGGTCTTCCGTGACTGTACGTTGGGCGGGAACCGTAGCCGGAGACGAACCCGGTTTATCCAAAGGGGCTTGGTTGGCTGGGTTGCGGAAGCAGTTCTCACTGGAATGACCAGCTTGACGTCGATGGAACTCGCAAAAGAAAGGGAGGTGTTTAACTTTATTAAAGCTAAAGGAGTGAGCTTGATTGAGAGCGTTGAGGCGACGATCCTCGGAAACAACGAAGTCGGCAAAGGTTGCTTCGATAGTTGTATCGGTGGAGACTTTCGAATTGAGGAAGCCGTCGAGCCATGAGTGGGCAGCTGGGTTGGCGCTGACAGCATTCAGGAAATGATAAAAGATGAGGAGAGGCGTGAGCTTGGTCGAATTGCACTCTTGGAGCTCACCGAGGGCAGCACGCCACTCGTTCACAAAAGCCTGAGGTTTGTTTGAAGTGTATGTGGTGTTGATGAGCTTGAGGAAATTGGCGAAGCCGGCTTCGTACGACCGGGCTGCGAAGGCGCGGTGGAGGTTGGCGTATGCAGTGCGTGCGTTATTCGCGTCGAGAATGTAGAACTTGACCGTCTGATGAACGGTGGCGTTGAGTAGCGGAAGGAGATATCGACTGGCGGTATCCCACTGAGCACGAGCCTCGACTTCAGTGGGCGTAGGCTGTGTGGGGTCGACTGCGCTGGGTTCGTTCCAGACGCCGGTGAGAAGTTCATAACATCGAATGTCGCGCGAGTCGAGGGTCCACTTGAGTGAAGTAGTCCATTCAGTGAAATTGGATTCGCCGACGAGCGTTGGAACAAGGTCGAGCAGGGTCGGCTCGGCAAAGCCAATGGAAGTCATTTTGGCGATGAAATGGACAAAGGAAGGGTTCGGAGTGGCTTTGTGAAGATGGAGTATTGATAAAAAAGGAATGAAGATTTGATTGATGTGATTGCCTGTCTCGAACTTAGGAGTAGTGAAAGTCTTGTGCTGGTGCGACAGCTGCTGCAAGATAAAGAAAATTCGGGAAAATAAAGATCATGATGAAGAAGGAACGACAAAGGTCTCATAGGCTATCAAGCTAGAGATATACTAGAACAGACATACCAAGGTGTCTAGCGACTTCCTTATTGTTGAAGCTAAGATGGGAGGAAAATATCGACTTCTATCGGATTACTCCTCGCCAACTTGCACCTGGGCACCCAAGTTCTATTGAGTAATCACAGCATCGACTTTGCCATGTCTTTTTGGGATGCTTTTTACGATGTCTTTTTTTAGGAAGTCTCTATAATGTTTTTGACGCCTTTCTTTCTGAATAGATGATACAAAGTAAAGCGTAAAGATATCGAATAGCTCAAACTTTCGGGTCCAGCCTCGCCCAAGAGGGCATCAGCTGCCTTGCATTCTACGTCAAATTGATATGGCCGAGCCCAGATGATGCTCCGCATACCAACTGGAGTCTAGGTCATGTCGGGTTCGTACAGAGCAAATAGAAGGACAGGCTCAAATGCCATGCGATGTTCTATCGGTAGGGATCATTGACCGGTAATGAGGGAGCATGTCAACGCTTCGAATCTAGTACTTGCTTGGTGGCATTAGGCAACGATGTTATCGGACATATCTCTCCTCGTCTGTTCTCTTTTATGAACTCCTATCCTTTTCTCTCTCATTAGATCATTCTATTACATTATTTGGGACTACTCCGAAGCTAGGAGTGCGGGTTTTAGTATATTATTAAGTGATTAAGATTTTTCTACATCTATGCGGTCTGTCTTCCTTCACTTGTCACAGTGATCACAAGGAAAGACCTAGGGAATTCAGCTAAAATGCCGCAGTGACTTTTCTATGTTAGATTTTTTTCACAAGAAAGTGGCGGACTGCAAAGCCATATAGTAAAAGCGACATTTTGTATTCCTATCCTCCAATTGTACTAATCTTTCATTACGCACTACTCTGTAGTTGCCGAGGTACGTAGTATATGTCATGATCCACAGTGGCGCTGGTCTCTGATGATCCCGGCGCCTACATGGACATGTCACATCTAGGCAAACTTGCGTCGGCCCGATCACCTTTCAGCCCCCCCACATCAGTGGGTCGGAAGTATGTCGTGCATGTTATGTGATATACAAACTGGGTTTAGTTAGAAACGGTCTATTTGTTTGCTTGGTGCGCCTGGAAAAGCGGAGATTTCTTGCAGCCCTCTATATAACGCAAAACAAAGGGATTCCTGCACCTCTTCATGGCTATTCTCCACACTACTACCCTCTGCTATTCTAGATGCATCGATATATCCAGTCTCCTTCTATTTCAGGACTTAAGTACAGCGCCAGCCAGCCAATCTGTCAGTATCCTGGACAAGGTTACATCGATTGACCTAATTTTCAGCTACGGCTTTTAGCAAGGATGTTATCGGGGTCTTCGGGGACTGTCGTCATGCGAATACATAAAGGAGTTGTTCCTGCTTGAAGGAAGACCAGAATCGCATCACAACTCTCAGGACTCATCCAAAGAGAGAAGACAGCAAAACAGAAACTATGCAATACTTCAGCACCCTCTTGGTGTTTGCCTTCCTTCCTTTTGCGCTATCTGCGTCTAGCACCCCGCCAGAGGGGATAGTAAGTCACAGCCCTTGATTTCCCAGTCTTTCTGTACTGACTTATTATAGTCGGAATTCTGCAAGCAAAAGAACGAGGTCCCTCACCTAAAGGACGACGGTACTTGGGGTTGCGCTTCTAGCATTTGCACTTCCGGCCAGGATCAGAGTACCTTGCACAAGGATTCCAAGACCGGAAACTGGACCTGCTGCCCCAAGGGACAGAAACTGGACCATGGCTCTTGCACACAGCCCGGAGGAAAGGGTAAGTCAATGGAAAAGGAACATGTATGGTTTGTGCCCTTAAAACTAATATCCAGCAGACCCTATTGTCCCTACACCCAAGCCAGGACCAGGATCCTGCGGACTCCATCTGAAGGACGCAAAACTGGAAAGCCTTCTTCGGGCCCTTCTGGTTCAATGTTTCCCCCACGAACACGCATCCTTGGACGCCTTCATTCAGTACTATATCACCGTCCTCCACGGGGGTATCGACCTGATTGAAGTCATCTACAAGAATGGTTGCGATGGGCCTACCGTCGACCCCGCTCCTGTTCACCCGTGGTGGAAATGCCCGGCGGACAACTCGACACCCTGCAAATGGCTTCCTTTGGAAAACAACAAACTCCGAAAGAGCCTAGCGGCAACCTCCGATCACAAGGTCCTGCCGAATCCTAACTTGCCCGTGCCGAACTACAAGTATCCCTTCGACACGCTAGTGACCAAATTCCCGGATGATGATCTGGATATCTATGTCAAAGATCAGAAGCTCCAGGCACAAGGCTCTGGAACGAGCTATCTCATTCCTGCTGGTAAGTAATGATGTAACATGGAAGTGCACATATACAAGAGACTAATTGGTTAGGCACATCGGGCGATGATGTATACTACAAATCCCCTAAGGGAGCCCAAGTCCAGTTCTATGGAGCTTGCTCAGAGGATACACCATGTATTGGCGACGAAGTGGTAACCTGGCAGGGAGGCAAGCCTCTCACACCCACTGCTCCCGATGTGGAAATCGATGTCAGTGACTACGACTACGATGTTGTTTTCACTTTGGCCGATACTATTGTGACCACTGAACAGTACGTGGTGCTCGCAGATGGCAAGAAGGTTGGCACAACACACGGTCGGTTGAGTCTTGGGGATGATAAATACAATACGAAGCACATCGCCAAAACCACCGATGTTGGTGGTGGCGCTCCGGGAGCCCTGAAGAGTATCGCCAATGATGGGTTCTGGGGTTCATTCCGCATTCCTAAAGGTGAGTCAGTTGAAATTGAGTATGGATGAGATTCTAACATTCTGTATAGATACCAAGAAAGTGAGCGTTCATCTTGACTACGAAGCTGCAGTATGGCCAAACTATATCTTTGAGTATCGGATCGATAAGCTCTGCCAATGCTAAACAAGACATGACGCAGCTTGCCATGTTCGTTGTGGATCAAGCACTGACGACGGAGTTGGTTATTGGTGGAACGAAGAGAATTGTCATTTTAACATTGGTAATACTTGGCTGGGGAAGTGGAAGAGGGAATTGCTATTTCAACAATAGCGGCTCGTTGATTGTGCCCACATAGTTGGCCTACATTCTCAGCTTCTAGCAGGACGTGAATATAACGGAATACTTCAGAAATGGCCGTGTCTATTCACAAACGGAACGCCACATTTTACTAGCAGACTTTATTGCTTACGTCTCCCTCGGGCTTTGCCTCATCGCACTTGTTGCAGATGGAATGCCGGTGCTCATAGTCCTTTCATCATTGCGTTTGGGATGGCCACTGTGTTATTGTTTATAGTCGTCACTCCTGGGCTTTGCCTTGCCAGTACATGAAACACTGGGCGTCGTAGTCTTGCTTTTTCGAAGTTGATCTTGCTAGTATTCCTATTCCTATTGAGGACCAGGTGCAATGGTCTTAAGTGAACGAAGATTTTGTGATATTTCCGCACTCCTATTATGAATGTGGGGTATACTGATATAGACCATCGCATGTTCCCGAATGAAACACTCAACACACTCTAAATTCTGATACCCTGCCTCATGTCTCAGTCCCCCAATAGTATGTGTCCCAAGAGAACCAATCAAACCCGCTTCCCTGGATAGGTATCTTGTCGCCAAGACGAGGAGAAGACATGTCGGGTAGATCAGTGGCAAATGTAGGCCATGGGGAGCCCATATCTACAGGCGACCAGTCGAGATAGTTGGCGATGTTTAATTGTCAAAAATCCAGATCCATTGAGTCTTCAGGATGTTGGTTATTGCTGTAGATTGGCTGTATGGGCGGTGGTTGAAATGACTTGGCAGGCTTTTCAATGGTCCGAGTCAAGACGTGACCAGAAACATGAACCCAAGCTAGTTGGAGGGAAACAGATGCCGTATGCTGCAATCTGGAGCATACCGTGGCAAGAAACCGCATCTGTGATCTTATTGCCGCGAAATAGTCTACCGTGGCAGATAGAAGGTTCAGATCTTGTTCGACTGTAGTCGTCCGACTGCTATCATTGTTGAAGATGTTTCCGAATATCATAAATAAAGGGGTAAACTGACAATATAGAAGTTTCCTCATTGAGCGATATTAGCGATATGAGCTATAAAGTGGGAGTGGGTGCATACAATACTACTCCATTGTATACCGAGTTCCAATTTGACACCATGGAACCCAGGGTAGAGATGGCCTCGCGGGCAGATGCAAGGCGTACAACCGAGGAAGAATCGTCTCCTTTGAGTAGAATAATGAGGGAATTTAAGTACTGGAACTTCATGGTGTTGATTCCCAAGGCCATTTCGCGCATTTGGCTGGCACTTGCCGAGGCATTTTCGCCATGGGAGATGGCTGTGAGGGACTGTTCTCCAATATTAAAACCACCAGCCGTTAGCCAATTGAAAGAGATGTAACATACCTGATTGATGGCCAAGTACCAAGCCTCGAGGCTTGATCAAATCTCTTGCTTTCGATATATCGGGCCGTCCGTTGAAAGAAGATCCAAAATTGACCCTGCGAGTTTTGTCCACTGAATAGAATGTTATCAGTTGAGAGAACTGGGCGATCAGGGTCATGGAGCTCAAGTCCTGGATTTCTCTTTCGAACGCATGTCATGATGGCTGGACTTTGCTTTACCTGTGACTGGCTTCGGTTTCCACGTGTCTTCAAATTTTGCAAAAATCTGCACTATTTGCTGACCACTGCGGTTCTCTCGCCTCACCCAAACGGAAATACCGTCTACAGGAGATGGCTTTTCGTTGACTGAGATCGAGATCACCGACAAGCATAGTTCTTCGCCCGGGCGGAGGTGCCCGGTCAGTTGTCTTTTGGAAAGTTCATCTGTAACCAACAATTTGGAGTGCCCCGACTGGTACGCTAGGACGGCTAGAGCATACAAGTTCGCTTGGACTATCCCGGTGTGGGCCTTGCCGGGCCATGGATGCAAGCAGGGATACAGGTGGTGTGAATGTCTGAAGATCGTTTCCTCGACTTGAAGTATTTGCTGGTGTTGGCCGTTTCCCTCTCGTTGGAAAGTTTCTATCGTCTTGGGCATTGGGGCGTAATCGCTGCACGAGCTCGTCTCTGCTCGCGTCGTCCAATTCCGCCAAGATTACGAGCGGCCATGTCTGCTCATCGATATTTCTGAGGAAGTTCAGAGGGTCAAATTCTGACCAGCGCCCTTAGCCATTTCCATTGACTGAGTCTGATATAGGCTATGTCAACACAAAGCGAAAAACCTTGGATGCGGAGGATTCTGCCATCCCGGTGGCCCGTCTACGGGCCGCCCCTGAACAGTGATCTCATCCCAACGCTATCCCAAGGTTAGAAGGTTTCCCTGGAAACTTTGGTCTCATTGCCTTACCGGCAGGAAAGTAGATATCTACATCATTTTCGTTATTATAGACGAATAATAAATACGGGCTCGTCCACACCTGTTATATATAAGAAAGCTCTTTGGTACGTATTGTACTTTCCACCGTCCTAAGTATAGTTTGCGACTGATTATTCTACGGTTTACGGCTAACCATTTCCAATCGGATTATAATACAGGACAGCGTGAAGGCAGAAAACGAGAGCGGTAAATTGGTGTGCTCTATAAAACACTTGTTGTAGAGCTTTCCGCTCATAGAAATGTCGGCCGTGAGAACCAATTGCTAGCTCCAATCGATACCAGCGCTTTATTTCTGTACACCTCTTTCACTCTTTGAAGGCTTTTCCATTTTTTACCAGGGCTCAGTGTTCGCTTTGGCTTTGTACCCGTTCTTTAATTAGACCTTATTTAAACAATTGTATTGCTCTGCCTTCTTTGTTCTCACTTCGTATGTCGGGCATATAAAAACTTAGGAATCAGATAACGCCTTTTCACCCGGTTGACCTCACAAGATAGTGAGTATTATTTCAGACCTTTTCTCTTACCCCGCCTAATCCAGCTCTTCAGCCCCTAATTCACAATGCCTAGGTACTCTCCATGGGAAGAAAAAGGACGAAGCCTTCGGAAATGGATTGAATGCTACCATGAACCGGGGTGCCCATATCCTAGATCCACATTTTCAATAACGTGTAACCCCCAACCTCCTGAGTACTCCGTGGCCCATGAAGCTGTGTGGCTGGATTCAACGTGGGACACGTGGATCTACCCTCTTGATCTACCGGATGAGCTTAACAAGATAGAAATCGCGAATCGACAAGGTCCACCAGTGGGCTGGGAGGGACGCACTGGACGAGGGGTAGTGTTCGTCGATTGGATCCGCCGTTCAAGACGAAGCACCGCTCCATATATGTCTGAATTCACTAAGGGTGCCTATGAGATGGATTTTCCCCTTAACACCCTCAGATACGTATTTGTGACTGATATTTCTGAGACTGACACGGTGCAATGTATTCGGGATAAGGTGTATAGATCTGAAGGGCTCCCGTACCCTTCTAACGACCAGGTGGTTTGGACTCCCTCGCGCGAGTATGATACTCTGCTGGGTACTACAATGGGTAAGATTGTTGCGGCTTTTATTCTGTGTGCGTGGGGACAAGGCAGAAAGCGCATTGCAAGGATCGTTACTTTTCACGACGGTGAATACCTTCAACGCTTGAACATGCGATTTGACGTTGAAGATATTTGAGGATGCATCTAGGTACCCTTGGCTTCTCCTGGTACGTATGTTATTAGTTACAGTTCCTATTTGATATAGTGCTGCTGGCATTATGATTGAATTTTCCCGAACCATACATCGCTGGGAAAGTTGATGGAATTAAGCGGTTTTTAACATGCGCATAATATACTGTCCCAATAGATTCGGGTCTTAGCTCCATCCAAGATGTTAATTGATATGAAAAGGTCTGTTCATGGAAATACCTAGGTGCCTAGGTACCTATTGACCATCCGTATTAGGCAGGAATGCCGAGGAAGGTCCAAGTAGCATGACGTCACGGCCAAAGTTTATCTCATTATGTAAACGCCCTCCACCAAGGTTGAAATCAGGGGTTTCCAAGGTTGGCACCCCACCTTGTACAGTCTCACCTTTGTACGGAGTAAGGCAGTCGGATTCCAATATCATCTTAATCGAAATGATCCCTCGTCGGCTACTGAAGCCATACGCGGCTGAATTTCTCGGCACTGCCCTGCTAATCGTCATCGGGGATGGAGTTGTCGCCCAATGTCTGTTGTCCGACTACACCTACGGCACCTGGCTGTCCATCAACGTCGCCTGGGCCGCTGCCGTCTGTCTCTCTAGCTATTTGTCCGATCCCAGCCCGACCATCAACCCGGCCGTGACTCTTTGCCTTGCTCTTGTGCGTCCGTCTGAAGGGCAGTGGAAACAAATCCCTGGCAAGCTGGCTGCGCAGTTCCTGGGCGGGTTTGTTGGCGCTGCCATCGTATATATCAACTACCGTTCGGCCATCAAAGCTTGGGATCCCGAATACACCATTCCTGGCGGATCAATCCTGAGCCCAGTCGGTCACCATTCAGCGGGTATCTTCTCGACCTACCCAAGTACCTTCTTCGAGTCGAACTGGGAGGCTGTGTTTTCTGAGATCCTGGGCTCAGCTGTGCTGATGTTTGGCTGTCTCAGTATCTCCGACCCGAGAAATGCCCATCGACTTCCTGCCCCACAGATCGCTCTCTTTCTACTGCTGCTTATGATCGGAGCGGCATTAGGTTGGCAGACCGGCTACGTAAGTTCACCAACTTATCATGTTAGGAAGCCGTACTAATAACACTAGGCCATTAACCCAGCTAGAGACCTTGGTCCGAGGTTGCTCTCTGCTATCATCTATGGCCGAGAGGTGTTTACGGCGGCCAACTACTATTTTGTTGTTCCCCTCTTCGCCCCTATTGTTGGCTGCGTTTTAGGCGCGGCAACTTACGACGGGCTGCTGTTCGAGGGAGAAGGGTCGCGCATTGCCGATGCCCTGGACGAAGTCGAGGATCAGGGGTCTCTTCGACTGCAGTGATATTTGGGCTTTGAGGACTGAACGTAAACTTGCTAGCATGGGGTGAGCCAGGATTAGCATTATTAGACATAGACTGAGGTTAAGTGAGAACAAGAGGATGAGATTAAAACTAAAAAGATTTTTGTGCACTAACCCCTTCTCAACCCGGATATCGTAGTTTGAAGGCCGCATTCGCCTCTCGTCGTCTCTCATTGCCAACCATTGTCAAGCTTCTGGCGGTAATCCGAAATCATTTCAGAAGTAACGTCGTTTCCTCCGCAAACAATGATTACAACTCGACTATCAGGTGTTAGGTTTGTTATGACTTCCCTAAGCCTATCTAACCCAACTTGGACACTTATTCCGCAAGCCAGCTCGACCTCCAACCGCAGCTCATCACACAAACGCACAACTCCCATTGCGGCATCAGCGTCGGTACCCACAATGCTAGTGACTTCGACCCCAGGCGGAGGGGATTGCACGTTTTTCAGCGTCTGCTGTGCCACGCAGAGTGCCCCCAAAGTGATGGCCTGCGACGTGATTGCAGGTAGAGGGTATAGGCAACCCGTGCGTAGAGAATGCGCCAGCGAATCCGCCCCTGCTGTTTCAACAGCGACAATCTGAACTTTTCCCGCCGTGTTCTTAGGAAGCGTTGTCGGTTGGTAAGCTGGCAAATGCCTCTCAAGGCCGTCTATGATCCCGTTCAAAAGACCGCCACCACCAACGCTGCAAACGATTGCATCTGCCGGGAACAAAAGATCGGTATCGGTTTTGCCGTAGTGCCTTGGAGGTAACTGCTTAATTATCTCATCAACCAGAGTCCCTGCACCTCGCCAGATATCATGATGATCGAACGGTGGGACATAAATGTTCGTGACCAAGGGATCTGACTTGCTCTCTTCATTTTCGATGAAATTTTCCCGCAGATACGCGTCTGCTTCGAACCAACTGGCACCATGGCGGATAACGTCCGAAGCCCCAGCAGCGCGGATTTTTTTGATCATTGTAGGCTTCGCGCTAAGGGGCACAACAACAGTACAGGGACAACCGAGATCCCGAGCGGCTATAACTGCTGCGAGCCCCGCATTGCCTGCTGAGGAGCTGAAAAAATGCAGGCTTCTGCCGTTGTTCGATGGTTCAGAAAGAGATGTGAGTATCAAGTTTCCAATGCCCCTGAACCAGTTCGAATTCTGTATCAGACCTCAGACCTATTTTGATGTGCTGCCAGCTGGAATGCCGAAACTCACCGTGATTTGAACGAGCCAGAAGGTTGGAGTGACTCCAATTTGAGGAAAATTCTACTATATTTACTGTTCAGCCCGAAACTTCGATTAGTGAAAATAAAACCAATCTTACCATCCGGCAGCCTTTGAAAGTGCCGCTGACTCGATCAGAGGCGTTTCAATCCAGGGTTTCTTCAATTCGTGTTCTGATTCGAAATCGCCCATTTTCAAGCGATTAGAGGCAAAAATGTAAAAACCGATAAGAACAATAAGATGTTCTTTGTCTGGAAAATCCAAGACGTATGTAAACTTGCCTCCACTAGGATAACCAGCAATTTATAAATTGGGAGGCATAAGGCTTCGGTGCCATCGGACCCGATCTTGCCGACGCCCTTCATTTGACATTTCGCTGCAGGTGTGGAGCGGATCTGTGCAATCCAAAATCGGCAATTTCGAGGAAATGGCAGCAGTCGTAGAGCAAGTGGCTCGTTATCGGCAGCACATCTGCAAGCCCGGGAAGAAGAGCGGAAGGTGAATTAAGAAAGGAGCTTGATAAGACTCCGAGGAGAGGAAACAGATCTAAATCCATAATGATGCCTAATCTGTCAGGGGTCAACAGCAGATGGCCACACCGTCAACATGTATCGATCTCCATCAATTCTTCGTTTGCCAGACGAATAACAAGAACGTTCATAGTGAGAGTGTCAAATCCAGGCACGATGGTGCTTAGGATAGCAGAGGCTGTCGAGGTTCGTTTTGGCGCGAAGATAGCATCACGGGGCAGACAAAGAAAGGATTCAGCAATGCACCAGTGGACCTCGGGACGTTTCTTGGGCTATGTAATATTTCTCATTTAGAATATAAGCACAAACTTAGGATATTTCCACAAAAGTACTTACAGGATTAAGCCAAGTTTAATGGCAAATTTCGCACACGTCCAGCGGATCACTAAACTTAATACTAAGGTTATTACCCATGTCCATGTTCATGAGATGAATGAATTATCGGCAGAGAAGAAGAAGCATGTAAAGTGAACTCTTTCCGCAAATACGCTTTTAGCTTATCGGCTTGAAAAGGGCGGATTTAAAGAAGGCGAGGTGGAGCGGGCGCGAAGACGGATAACGAATGCTTAGTATATATCTACTCCCCTTTTATTATAAGTAAAGGATATGTTGGAACAGGCTTACTAGGTCTACGCTAAAATACCTTAAAATACCGCGCGGCCGTCCATTGGGTAGGTAGAAATATATTATATACCCGAGTAAATTTTAAGACTAGAACTACAGCCAGGTCAAGATAACCATCCGTCCAGCCTCGCCTCTCGGAGCAAACCCGTTTTGAAACGACTCCTATTTAGAGTACTGCCCTGACAGGAGCAATTGTCTTCACCCTAGACATTGCATGTAACAGACTGGAACTAGCATATTCTTTGGATCCCATTTTCTCCGATTCGAGACCAACAACGTTAGTCTGTTTCAAAAACAGCTCATTCGAAACGACCAAATCCACTTATCTCTTCCATGCTTTAAATGTACGTCCGAGTTTTAGCCGTATGTGATGGAAAAATTATCAAACGGAAAAATTATACCTTGGTGGAGTGGAATGGTCCCATTCATGTTTCCCCTTAACTGGGTCATTGCCAATTCTCCACCCTTAATCTTGAATATTTTATCATATAAAGTCGCTCTACTCATCCAAAATTGATTCCTGCGCATTGGATTAACTTCATATATTCATCATGTCTCTCAGAAACCTCGCCCTGCTCGCCGTCCTCGGCCTTGTCAACGCTCAAGATAAGATCGGATTTGGTCCATACTTCTCCCTCGGCCCTACCTCTTCATGGATCCGTGAAGCAAAGACAACCCTTGTCCTCCCCGAGGCCCCGAGCCCACAGAAAGACCGTCTTGCTCTGTGGCCCGGAATGGGAACAAGCGGAGGTGATCTGATCCAGGCTCTTGCCGTTTCTTTCGCCGACCCTGCCGCGTGAGTGATGGAATAACAAATGTGAGTATACATAATTTATAACTGACTCTTGAAGAAACTGTGGTGCAACATCTGGACAATGGTGCACATGGGCTAGTACCCTCCAAGACACCCAGCTGGGCGGAAAGCAGGTACCTGCCAATGCTGGTGATCAGGTTACAATGCATTGTAAGTTCTGACTTGCTGTCACTTATAGACATGAGCTAATTATTCTATAGACAAGTACAATGACGACACCAGCAAGTTTGACCAGACAGTCTCGATTAATGGAGAGGTTGTGTCCACTCTTTCAACCAGTAAGTCCTCAGCCTATTCATAATCCCGGTCTTCAACTAACAATCCTTTCTAGGTTCCGGCCAGGCACAGGGCTGGGGTACCGCTGTCGAATGCCAGGATGATACCTGTAAGGGCAATGCTGCAGAACACAGTGAGTTGGGACTCATATTTCCAAGTCATCAAACAGGTGCTAATTATGATAGAATACCTCGATACTACAATCATCTTGAACGCTGCTGATTCTTCCTTCGGCGACACCCTGGCTATCAACGAGGCTACTTCTTCTGGTCTCAAGACAACCGACAACGGAAAGACATGGACCGTGTCTACCATCAATGTTCAGTCTCACACCTACAACCTGTAAACAATAGTTCTCAGCCTATGTATGTACTCTAGATAAAAGATTTGTGTAGGCCACAATTCAGAGTGATTTTCGACAAGCAATATAAGTGCCTTTCAATACACGATGTGCTTGATAGCTCTAGAGGGGAGTGTAGCAAAAGAAAGCAAAGGGCTTCATAACATGATCCACGTCTGTCCACGTGTCTAAAGAGGAGGAAATAGATGCTAACTATTCTCGTGAGATATGCCTGCTGCCATAAAGAGAATATAAGAATAATGGCCGCAATTGTAGGCCATCTTAACTAAGTAGTCCGAGAAATCCCCCAGTCTCTATAATACGCTCTATTAGAAGCTTGACTTCAGGTTACTTGCCATTTATATTTATTTCGCTTGCTCCTTACAATATACATGTATCTAGGTACCTACATATGTACATGTAGGTACGTACATTCTACCTACCTGAGAATATATGTACATATGTAGGTATTATATGATATCTGCCTATCCATGGATGTCACTTGACCGAGCACCTTCCTAATCGGAAACCAGGGATATTTCCCAGACTTTCCTTCTTCCTCTTCCTCTTCCTCTCTCTCACTTCCTCTCTTATTTCCTTCTCACTTCCTTCTCTCTCCCCTCTCCTCCCCTCTTTCTTCCCCTCTCTCCTCTTCTCTCTCTTCCTCTCCTCTCTCCATGGGCTTCGCCCTGGATGCAACACAGTCTTTCTCCATATTTTCCCTGCATAGCCTTCCCGACGAGATGTCTCTACCCGACGATCAAAACGCGGATCACTGGATACGCACTGTCAATCTGGAAGGAGTGCGGGAGATATTTGGAGGACGTCGCCATCTCCAAATTCAGCTCGATCCCCGATGGGAGCAATTCTGGAAATACGGTCAGACTGTCCTCTCCGCCACCGTTGGCCCCGTCACAGCGGAATGGATAAAGAGGATCTTTCACTATCTTCTTCCCGTCAACAGACCGGAATGTGGAGCTGAACAGTCAGGCCAAGCTGCTCCAGCAGATTGCCAAGCAGAGCAAGCATCTTGGACAGGTTGGCGGTCAGACAAAGGCACTGGAGTCCATTAAGAACCAATTACCCAAGCTTGACACGATTACACTTAAGCTGGAAACCTCAAATCGGCTCTCGAATCGGGTAAGACCCGAATGGCCAACAAACTCAACTCGGTTGAGGCCCGATTGTTGTCGAAGCTGGAAACGATTGAAACCCAATTTGAGGAGTTTAGAAAGAAGGTCATGCTCGACCTTCTGGAGAATAACAAATGGCGGAAGGAGAATGAGGAGACGAAGTTTCGGCTTCAACAACTGCAGTGCGTCATGGCGGCAGTCGCTAGATTCCTTTTCTGCCACCAACAATCTCCGCGCATTTGGACCGACATGGCCCGTCTTTCTTTCTTCTTCCCCCAGCTACCTCCGGTACCTTCGAGAAGCTGTTACCGGCTCCATCAACCTGCCGCCATATGAGCAGGTAAGTACATATTACTGGAGATAATCTTCTTACACAAACTATTGCTAATTGATAAACAGGATAATACAGGTCGAATCGTTGTTTGCCATGGTGAACTTTTATGCCGCGAGCCCGATTGTGAGCATCGAAGAGTAAGTCCGTCCAGTACTTTCAATCGATTCCTTAATAGATTCTTTTCTCCGCTAAAAGTAACCTGTGTGCCCATTTGGAGCGACATGGCCTCCATACGGCAGAGACACGAGCCGGCCATCTGAGCCAAGCTCAAAAAAGTTGCATCATAGGCTGGTATGACCGAGCTGGTATGACCGCCTGTTCGCCGAGTCCGAGGACGATGAGGAGGAGGAGGACGACGACGACGACTAGGAGACCACGTACAGAATTGAAGAAGCTTCTTTTTCTTTTTACGTGCTGTAATAGGCTGATTATGTTCTCTAAATTCACCTCGGGCGTTGCCTACTATGACATCAAGATTATTGACAGAGAAAGAAATGAAGAAATGATAAGAACTGGTCGCTGGGGACGAAAAGGAAGAATCCAACTTGTAACACAATCCCAGTTGCTTTATCATCTATATATACATAGGTTAGTTACTCTAGACTGTCGTGTGAACATGACTATATATGCTTATCTACAATATTAGCCCCTAAAATGTATTTGAAAAATTATTTTAGTCATATTGTGCTGGTGAAGCAGATTTTGATTCGCTAATAGTATCCGTAGACCTCGTATCTACTGGCCCTTCAATTCCCGGACCTCAAGCATGGCCCTACGGAGTTGCTTTGCCAACACGTTGTACTTGTCCCCGATGTTAGCATAGTCGCATTTCTGCAGCTTGGCTCGCTCCTCAAGCTCTCGCAACTTTTGCGCTTGAGTAGTGTTGATACCGTGAAGGCTTGTATTCTCTTCCTGTAACATCTGCAAGCTGATCTTGCCCGTCTGGAGTCGATATTGGTTGCCTTTCGTAGGCTGCGTTGGTAGAAGCTACGCTCCTTTGCAAGACTCTGGATACGGGATAGGGCCTTATGTATCTCCCTTACCAGCTCGTTGAATTAGTCTCCGCTCTTCTGTACCAATAAGTTGATCAGAGGGACTCATACTACCTTAACAGTAAGAATCACCATGATGATAAGGGTTGGGAAGTAGGAAGAGAGGACTGGCGACCAGAGATGGGGGTAGAAGATAGGAAGAGCAGAATAAGCGGAAGGAGTAGACGGTGAAGAAGGGTGAATGAGAAAAGTTAGTGAGAAATGCAAAGGAGAAAGGTAAGCAAGAAGGGTAAGTGAGAAGGGTGAGTCTCAACCGACCTACCACAGCATTTGCTGTATATTTACCAGCGTCTGCTGTTTGGGTTGCCAAAGGCCATGGCCAATATCCTCTTTGGGGTGACGCCCAAGAAGATGTGCCTTGCGATTTTGAAGATGCTCAAGCAGGAAGGAGCAAGAACCTCAACAAATCTATCTGGACAGATATCTAAAGCCAGAAAGTGACGTGCAATCAGATTTGAAAACTTTAGAACTGAGGTCAAGTTCAATAGTGCTCACCTGCCGCAAATTATATCACTCTCGCTTTATTTCGCATGCTATCGAGGATCTCGATACGAACGAGTAGCGTTACACATTATCTGATGGTTACATCCTTCTCGGGCTTTTACATCTCTATCCTTACCCCTATCAGTTCAAATCGTCTGTTCGCATGCCCAACTTCAACTGGGTGGATTACGTCCGCATCCTTGAGATAACCGCAGAGAAAGAACAAGTCCAATGTCAAAAAAGCATACCCGGATGCAAGAAGACATATACATAGGTCAGTTACTCTAGATTGCCATCCAGATCTGACTAGGTACGTTCGTGTGCAATATTAGCTCTGAAATGGATGCTGAAGAATTATTTAAGTCGTATCGCTTTGGTGAAAAGGATTTCAATGTTGATTTAATAGTTCCCCTAGTGACCCAACTACCTACTCGCCCTTCAACTCGCGAAGCTCAAGCATTGTCTTATGCAGCTGCTTGGCTACCACATTGTATTTCTCACCCAGCGCAGCAAACTGGGACTTTTGGTGCTTGACTTCCTCCTTGACTTCCTGCAGCTTCTGTGCTTGGTTGGCATTGACGCGGCGAAGGCTTACGTTCTCTGCCTGTAGCATCTGCAAGCTGGTCTTCCCCGTCTTAGGGTCGATGTTGGTTGCCTTGCGAAGAGTACGTTGGTAGAAGCTACGCTCCTTTGCCAGACTCTGGATACGCAATCTGGCGTTCTCAAGCTCACGAGAACTCGGGGCAGAAGGAGCAGGAGGGGCAATTGTTGCCACGGGCGCGAATGGGGAGACATGTTGGGCATAGCCTTTCTGGTTCGTCAACGCGCGCGGAAGCCGCACGGCGTGAGTAGCTTTTGCCTGTTGAACGCAGTTAGTGCATTTTCCTAATATAAATAAGAAATTATCAGGAGGGACTTACAGTCACATTCGTCGCGGCGTTGGAAGTTGCTATGGTAGCTGTAGGAAGTCGGGGAGGGGAGGGAGTCGGTGGAGTGGGGCAGGGAGTCCCAATGATCTCGACGGATGGGGAGCGAGGAGAGCCAAATAGGGAGTTGGGCGAGTCCACAACCTGGGCGTTGTGTGCGACTGTCTCTCCTGCAATAGGCTCAGGAGCAGAGGGTGGCACGCCAGCATTGGCCAAATTGGCCTGGGCGATGAGGTTCTCCCACTTTCGGACCTTGTCGGCGTCTGTATCCTCCGGAGTGTATGCAATCCCAATCGAGGGGTCGTAGGTCATCTCCCCGTTTGGTGCATGTGCGGGGAGAGGGCTGGGTGCTGACTGGGCAGAGTAGTTGGCAGGTGTGGCTGAATTGGGCTGGCCAAGACCAGAACCATCGAGGTTATCGAGAGGAAGATTGGCGAAGTACTCATCGAAGCTGCTCATAAGGTCTGGGTTTCCTTGGTAGCTGAAGCCATTGGAAGCATTGAACGGTCCTTCGGCATCAAGGTTGGCAAGACCATTGAGAAACGCCTGGGAGTCGAAAGCAGGCTGGTCAAACCCAAAGGCAGGGTGATTGGAGTCAATTGCATCCATGTTGATCAGAAATGGGTATTAAGATTAAAGATATTGAATAGGATTGATAAGAGGAGAAGATGGATGAAAAGTAAGAAGAGATCGAAGGAGTGTCGAGGAGAGATGGTAATAGCCGTCGAGGAAGGAATTAGGGCTCATAGACAGGAACAATGGGAGCAAACAAGAACAAAGAAAGTGACATTGCTATTGCCTCAGATCAATTATAGAGATCAATAAGAGTCAGTAGGGATCAGTAGCGATCAACAGAGGCGACAAACGCATGATATGATGTACTCGTTTGACTGCATTGATATTGTTATTTTTTTCTGCCGGACAATTAATTATTTTGCCAAAAGTTTAAATATACGTCGGCCAATCATATGTCACGCCCTGGCGGGTAACTCACCGCAAAATGTACCGCCCAGTCTAGCCTAAGACTCGAGATTAGGGAAGTTTGACAGCACGAAGAATTCGCCCAAAATCCTGCTCAAACAAATGTAGAAATATAAAGACACCACTAGATTAGAAATATCCCCTAAAGCTCTATGCACAGAGCCATGAATGCACTTCGTTAGACAAAAAACTAACCCCAAAATATGATTCTCTTCACCCATTTGACGGCCTCCCCTTTAGGTGCCATCATCTTATCTTCCCACCGCCCTCACCTTCCTTATCGACTTAACGTCATAGTCACACAGCGACACCGCTCTACTCACGTGGACCTGCAATCACGTGGTAGTCATGGCAGAAAATGGGACTCCATCCGAAGTTCGGTCTGGGCCGTCTCGCCTTGACAGCTCCCCTAAAGCCTCAAGGGACTCCAGTGGTACCGAGTACGAGGATATCACGAAGACTGGTTATTTCTCCCACTACACTCCTTTGGCCTCAGCCCTGGCGAATATGAGTGTCATTCTATGCACCGGTACGTGGAATATCACAAGGAGCTCCCCGCATTCTTCCAGGCATTGGACTAATTACCTTGGTTGCATGTTTTAGCGGGGTACGACCATACCATTCGGTAAGTTGAGGCTCAACTAGCCGCGCGCAGCATTTATCGAGCACCCGCAGAGTGGCAATTTATACCAGGACTCTTGCTGACTATATTTCTGCTAGGTTCTGGGAAGCGCTCTCGGGTATCTGTTCGCGTACAATCCAGCATCCGGACTCGCAAGTGAATCGTCTTTGCATCACACCGGATAAGAGGTTCTTGGCTGCCGCGGGTCACAACAATGTCAAGCTGTTTGATATCAAGTCAACCAATCCTAATCCCGTGATTACATTTGAAGGTCACACAAACAACATCACCGGCGTGGCATTCCACTGTGAGGGGAAATGGATGGTCACCAGCTCCGAGGATGGAACTGTGAAGGTCTGGGATACTCGTACCGGCAGCTTGCAGCGAAACTACATCCACCGGGCTGCTGTCAACGATGTGGTCATTCATCCCAACCAGGGCGAGCTCATTAGTGGTGACCACGCCGGTATGGTCCGTGTCTGGGACTTGGGTGAGAGCGTCTGTACCCATCAATTGATTCCGGAGGAGGACACTGCGGTTCTCAGTGTTAGCGTTGCCAGCGATGGATCGTTGCTTTGCGCTGGAAATAAGAAGGTTCGTGATTTTAGATTCACGGAGCATTGTATGCATCTTTACTAATATCTCGACAGGGAAATGTCTACTTATGGCGCATGGTCCAAACGGATGAGACCACCCGTATCATCCCCGTCTGTACCTTCCAAGCTCATAAGGACTACCTCACTCGTGTTCTCCTCTCTCCCGATGTCAAGCACCTTGCAACCTGCTCCGCAGATCATACTGCCAAGGTCTGGAACCTCGACGCTGAATTTCCGCCTGCCAAACTGGCATTGAAGCAATGGAAAGAGAAAGAGGCATTGAACCCTCCAGTTGAAACTCCGGTCGAAGCTCCAGCAACACCTGTCGAAGCTCCCGCTCAGTCTCGGGACCTGCTCCGTATTTTCGACGCCCCCATCCAAGACCGTGATCTACTCCGTATCACCGACAATCCTCCTCGCCAAGAGACACCGCAACAGACATTCACCTCGTCTCCCGACGGGCCTCCTATGGATCCAGTCAACCACACACTGTTCCTGGAGACCACCCTCGCCAATCACCAGCGCTGGGTCTGGGACTGTGCCTTCTCTGCAGACAGTGCATACCTCGTAACAGTGTCCAGTGATCACTACGCTCGTTTGTGGGAGCTTGGCACTGGCAATATCATCCGCCAGTACAGCGGCCATCATCGAGGTGCCGTTTGTGTTGCTTTGAACGACTACTCCGAGCCTCGCTAGGGGTAAGACACAAGGTTGAGTCGCCTCGGGCTAACCCGCATTCTGCTTTCATGAGTTAATGGGTCTCTACTGGCGTTGATCTTATTCTGGATAATCTACACATGGCATGGCGCACGTAATGATGGGTGTTTTGTGGTTTTCTCTGGTTATATGGCGTATTTCGGTTGGTCAATGGAGACCTTCGTCGTTGAATCATTCTACAGACTTTTTACTTGTCCCATTTTCATCCCACAGAGGATACTGCATAGTGTCGAGATATCACTAACAATATCAAATGTACTAATTCTCGCTGTTCTTTCTCTACACTACATACTTCTGGCTGGGTAACATGCCCGAAAGGTGTTTACAAGGCTATTCAATTTCGTGAGCGACGCAGGACAAGTCTCCATACACTAAAAGAAAACATAACACCACGCTCAGACTGAACTCAAATAAAATCACACAAAGAAGAAAAATAACAGATCTTAACATACCCATAGGACTAAAAACAAATGTTCAAGTACAGGAAAAAGACAAATATGAAGCCCGTGACGCAAATCCGATACAAAGCCCAAGGAACCGCTCACAGACAAGGCCACTGCTTCCGCTTATGGACTTCTATGCCATCCATGGATATCTTCATGATAGAACCAGCCAACAAGCAATCAGACCGTCCTTATACGACGGCAAACCATGTCACACAAACAACAATATCCATTCCCCGTTCCTCAGCACCAGTGTACTTGAAAGTCCACATGCCGTCGCGGTTGACATCCCAGAACGCCCCAGAGGCGGAGTGCATACCACGCTTACCGGCATTGCTAAGTGCACCATCCGCCGCAACGGAAGGGTCAATCACGCCCTGCTGCACGATTGTGCTGTTCACAGTGAAGCGGTAGGGAGGGGGCTTAGAGGCATCTGTGGGTGCGGTAGCGGTGATCAGAGCCTTAAGGATGGTGTTCTATACGGGGGATTGTTAGTATCGGCATTGCAGTCAGGTGGTTGTTGTTAGTTGGGCGTGTTGGGTGTTGACGCTTACGATAATCTGGGAGTTCCAGGTTCCGACATTGTCGTGCTCGTAGCCCTTGCTGGTCTCGAGGGCATTCTGGCAGGCCTGGGGTGAGATGTTAGCGCGGGGTTAAATCCACGGGGCATTTTGGGGAATGGACATACCTCGGTGGTGATCTTAGTGAGATCCTCAATGGGGATCGGCTGGAGGGTTGTTAGAACCATTTGTGATAATGCAATGGTAGCGAGTATTCTTGTGGCATCATTGCGCATTGATATAGCGCAACTGCGGTGTCACTTGCGATCAACGTACCGATGCAGAGGCGCCTTCGGCAGACATTGTGAATAAATGGAATGCGGTGGTTTGGGGAGTGCTTAAGAATGCTGCACAAAGGACTTTGTTAACGAGTAGACTGGCTCAAAGTTTAACGCGTGTGGACTCCATTGGGCTGACATCATGTCTAAAATACCACGGGGTATGCGCGCGAGCCCGGAGCAATGCGGGGAGAAGGGGCGTAATTGACGGTGAATTTCAGCGCAGATAGCCTGTTTCAAACAGGAGAAATGTATTCACATACCTTTATTGGATCTAGATAGTAGATACGATTATGAATGTGGGATGCTTGTAGGACTGCTCGTCGCAATCTACGTGGATTGTTTGGATATTTGGCAATCATTGGGGCGCTTGGCCTAAAGGGGTTTGGCACGAGCTTGATTCTGCCACGGCGGTGTGGGACTAAACATCGTGTGTTCAAATAACGAACCCAGGTTCTAAGGTTTCAATATGACAGGCCACGTAATAATTATTATGAATTATATATATTATATATATATAGAGAGAGAGAGAGAGAGTATGATAGGCTCCTTTATTCGGATTAATATACTATCTGTAATATAAATACAACATGGATAATAATATACCACAACCACCACCCAACCACGACAGAAACAGAAGACAGACTTTTGGAAACAGAACACGGACTTTTGAAATCACTTTTGAATCAATTTGTCCTCGGACACTGCTGCCATAGCACGCTGCAGTCGTTCAAGGTGGAACTTCATCTCCTGGTTTTCGCGCCGCAATTTGGCGTTCTCTTCAAGAAGGTCGACCTTCTGCTTGAACTCTTTGAATTGGGTTCCAATCGATCCCAATTTGGCCAATGATCGATTCTCAGCCGAGTCAATGTTGTTTGCAAGCCATTTCTCGGCTGAGACGACATTGTCTGCAAATCGTTTTCTCAGATGATTCGAAGTTTCCTGCTTGACTTACGATACTCAATTCGAGGTTCTCTGCTTGACTTATGATGGTGTCAAGCTTGGATAATTGTTTAGCCGTCCGACCGACAATCTGGCTGGTCTGCTCGGAAATTGGTTGGAGAAGTCGGCTCTAAGCTTCTCCAGTCATCCAATCAATCTATGGGGCCAAGTGTCGCGAAGAGGGCCGTTGGGCCGTATTTCCAGAACTCTTCCCATGCCGGTTCTCAGCCGATTCGCGCTTTTTGGCTTGACTTGTAATAGTGCTAAAGATGGGGAGAGAAAGGAAGCAAGATCTGGCTCAGCACTGAGAGAGATTTTATACCAACGATCAATGCAAAAAGTTATAACTACCCAGATATCTAAAAGACCACTAAAAAGACATATAGAAAGACTATCGGAGAAGACCACCTAAGGACCACCAGACTACGGCTGTATAAGCGGCCGACAATTATCCCACTCTTCGCACCTCTACCACTCCGACGGCCTCTCCTTAAACTACTTCTAGATGTGATGGCCATATTCCTCAGATAAAAAGCCCCTGCCTCCAACTTTATCCCATGACAAAAGTCAAGCAGAAAGCTTCATAGATACAATCCATAGATAGTCACTCACCATTTGTAACGAATCTTGCCACGAATGTTTCATATCTTGCTGTAACACTCCAAGGACACTTTTACATGGACAAGTAATTTGCTCAAATCAAAGTTCCGTGGTACGTATAAAATGAGAGCGTTGCATAAAACCACCATGTCTTTCAATGCGCAAAAGTCCCAATGCGGACACAAGTGGGGCCTTGCCCTAGAAAAGCTGATTTTCGCCTATTTGGCACAATTTGGCCAAATTATATATAGCAGGCCGGCTGGCCCAATGGCAAGGCGCTTGACTACGAATCAAGAGATTGCAGGTTCGATCCCTGCGTCGGTCATATCTTTTTGCTTTCCGTCATTCGTCGATCCGATAATCCAACCTACGTCATACCCGAATATGTATGTATGTACAGCATCCGACGCTTTTGCCAATGCAATTCAATTGGTTCCAATATCTGCAGTATAGAAGTAAGTAGGTTACCAAAGATACTTATCTTTTTATATGGCTTAGAATTTTGCATTGTTATAGTGTAACTCGGACCTCGCAGTACGAAGGATGGGTGTAACGACGCTGGTGATGAATAAAGCTTTTGAGAAATATCAAACTTAAGGTGATACTTACATCGATAAGACCGGAACGGATATATGTCGGACGTATTCTCCCTTCAATCGGCACATTAAGAATCCGACATAAACCGAGGAAACCAAACAGCAGACATGACGACACCAACCTGCAAAATTTGAAGACACGGAGGAACCTCGGGCATACCAAAACAAGGCACAGGCTGGCTAGATCCGGTTCGTTCAAAAACGGACATAAAACTGGGAATATGTCAGCGGCGTCCTGGAAAAGAAATTAAGCACCATAAAATCACATCAAGTGGGTTCAGAGTGGCAAGTGCGCGCCAATCAACGTTTGCCGTTCCAACCGGGTACCCAATGTAGATGTCAGATCATGGCTTTCGGCATGCCGGTTTTCATACTCGGTTCGGACTTGGGAATTTTCCACCAGGGCCAGCCCTGGAGGTTCCAAGGTTTCATAATAATTATGCAAGGACGTCTATCGCCGATTGTGCCGACGGTGATTCTTTTTTATCCTTGATTTGCCCCTTCTTTTCCTTTCGACAGGTTTAGCATTCTAACCGCCGAGGAAAGGGAAGCCATAGCAGTCTGCTCGTCATGGCAGATCAAGACGAGATCCGTGGCAATTCGGTCTATGAGGCCGAACAGCCTGTCACCGAAACGCCCTCACCGATTGAGAGGCCTGTTGCTTCGAACATACAGAAAAAGTCTGGGTTTATGGCCAAGTCAGTATTCCCATACCTCATCCTCCACCTTTGTACGGAGCGCAGAACAAAGCAAAATACTGACACCCTAACAGAATCGGAAGAATTCTGAACCAAGATGTCCGCGAGGAACTACCTGCGTACAAAGATATCCAAATCCACACCTGGGACGGGCCCGACGATACCCAGAATCCATTTAACTGGAGCCTCAAATACAAATGGCTGCTAACCGTCACCGTATGCTTCATGTAAGAAACACCAGCTCTACGCACAACACCTAGACCTTTAAGCATCTAACTAACAACCCACCAGCTCCATCCTGACCGGTCTCCCTGCGGGAACCTACGGCTCCGGCAACGACTGGATGGAGAAAGAATTCAACGTCCAGAATGACCCCTTCCCAAACCTCTACTGGGCCACCACCTCCTGGAACATGGGCGCTGCCTTCTGGCCACTGATCTTCGTCCCTCTAACCGAGGCCTCCGGCCGCATGCCAGGATACTTCGTGGCATATGTGATCCTTGTCATCTCCCTCTTCCCCTCCGCGTTCGCAAAGAACTTCGCGACGCTCGTCGTGACTCGGTTCTTCGGTGGCGGTGCCTCTTCCGTCTCGATCAATATCGTCGGTGGAAGTATCTCCGATGTGTGGCTCGGTGACCATGCTCGCAGTCTTCCGATGTCTATATTCGGGTTCACAAGTGTTGTGGGTATTGCACTTGGTCCGTTTATTGGATCTGCCATTGTGCAGATTCAGAAATCAGAGCCGTGGCGTTGGTAAGCACAAACCCTTTCTTTCCCGCTATTTATACCTTCAAATATCCAAGAACCAGAATTACGAAGCCATACTAATCATTTTACAGGATCTTTTACGTCCAAATAATCTACAACGCCGCCCTAATCCCAGTCTTCTGGCTAATCCTCAACGAAACCCGCCCAGACGTGATCCTCAAGGAACGTGCACGCAAGATCCGCAAAGAAACCAACCTCCCGGTATACGCGGCCTCAGAAATAGACGCCCCAAGCAAACTCCGTCTCCTGAAAATCTCCTTCCAGCGCCCAACAAGCATGCTCCTAACCGAGCCGGTCGTAACCTTCTTCACCTTATGGATAAGTTTCGCTTGGGGAATCCTATACCTCTTCTTCTCCAGCGTCGTGCAAACCTACTCAACAAACTACGGCTGGGGCACGCTGTCAACAGGCCTGGTCCAGCTCGCCATCTCGGTAGGCGCGATCATCGGCACAGTCATCAACCCACTCCAGGACTGGTTCTATCTCCGCTCTTCGCGGCGCAATGAAGAGAAACCCGGTAAACCTATTCCGGAGGCGAGACTGTACACTTCCATCCCGGGTAGTTTGCTCTTTGCGGCGGGTCTGTTCTGGTATGGATGGGCTAGCCAGCCGGATATTCATTGGATCGTGCCGACTATTGGTATCACGGCTGCTGGGATTGGGATCTATTCGATTTATATGGCTGTTGTTAATTATTTGACTGATGCTTATGAGCGTTATGCGGCGTCGGCTTTGTCGGCTGCTTCGCTTGGGAGGAATGCTTTTGGTGCGTTCTTGCCGCTTGCTTCGCCGCAGTTGTTTGCGAATCTTGGGTTTGGATGGGCTGGCACTTTGCTTGGGTTTATCGGAGTTGCGTTGTCGATTGTTCCTGTTATTTTGGTTTTGAAGGGTCCACAGATTCGGGAGAGGAGTAAGTTTATGAGGGAGGCTATGTGGGAGCCTGAGGAGACGGTTGAGATTGATCGTTCTGGCAAAGAAGATTCGGGGCCTTCTGCTGAGGGAGTTGCGTGAAGTTGTGCAGTTGGGGTGTTCTTTTGCGCTGCATTGCGTAGTTGAGTATTTTGTTCTACCTATTGTCTTCAATTTTGGCAGATAGGTTATGTACATAGGTTTACATTCTGATAGAAATAGATAAACACATGAATTTATTGTTTTATTTTGTTTTTTTGTCCATCTACTGGCCGTTCTCTATACAATGCCAAGAGGGAAGTATAGAAAGACAAGAAACCAAAAACCACAACTTCCTCCACATGTTCTATCGACTCTGAATCCAAGGTGGGAAGGATAGTGGAAGAGGGTATCGGGGCAAAGGGGTCAGGGTCGGAAGGAAATGGCCGTTCACATGGATGTTGCTTTTGAGAAACACTTTCGCTATCAATCATTCAACCGGAACAAGCGGGGGAAACTTATTCCCCGTCGCGCATCTTGCGGAAGAAATCCATGACGCCAGTGTAAACAACAAGCAGGATACCACCGCCAGGGCCGAGACGCAGAACCTTAGGCGTAAAGCCCTTGTACAGGGCAGCGAAGCCCTCCTCCTTCATCACGGTGCCGAGAGCAGGCCAGGCCCAGTTGTACTTGGCGACCTGACCAGGAACCTTGGTGGTATTCTGGATGCGGGACTTGACAACGTCCATGGGTGTGTTGAGGATAGTACCTGTGATACCACCGATGGTACCGGCGATCAGGTCGTTGCGTGTCTGCTGGTTCTTGTTGCCGGGCTCGACAGCAGGCAGCTGTGCGCGGACCTGGAAGATACAGCCGAAGTAACCTGCGTTCCACAGGATGTGGCGCCACATGGTCGACTCAAGGCCGTTGTACATTGCCAACGGGCCTTCTGTGGCCACGATCTTCTTCACCACGTCGAACATGCCGTTGTACTTGTGGGCCTGGGCCTTATCCTGCAGACGGATCTTCACCAGCTCGAACGGAACCACCACGAAGGCTTCAGTCGCTCCGGCTGTGGCTCCAGTCAAAGTGGCCAGGCCTTGGGTCTGCTTGTCCACACCGAACAGGTTGCGGTAGAAAGCGCCCCAGCTGTCGTTGGCAGCGAACTTGGTCGCACGCTTTGGTGCCTCCATCAGGATGGGCGCAGAGATACCACGGTATAGACGGGAGGCACTATATACATTTTCGCATGTTAGACAGAGAGCCGTGGCTAGTTCGCTAGGGTGATGACATACCCTTCGTTCTTAACAATCTTGCGGAAGCAGTCGAACATGCCATTGTAGTGATCAACACCAGGAACAGGGGGTCCAGTCTGAAGCTGACTGCAGGAGGATATGGTTAGCTCATGTCATATGAGGTTAGTGCTCATTGCGACCGGTGGCTTGCTTACATTCGAGTCTTGAGCACGTCCAGAGGGTACCTGCGAGCACACATTGTCAATTGAGTCCAATTTCCACGTTATACCAAGTATATCTCCAACAGACAGTTATGCGACCAAAGAAGGGGAGTGGATAGCCGTACATGACCAGGATCTGCTCATGCGGGGAGAGACGCGTTAGTCAATAGAGCACCTTGTGGGGTGTCCAACACGACGAATCAAGTCGGAATCGCTTTTCAAAGCAAAGGCAGGAGACACATACCTCTGAGACACCAGCCACCGCACCGGCGGCGAACTGGTAGACGAAGGGGAGGGGCTTCTGGGGAGTATCGGACATGATGGCGGCTTGAGCTGTGGGATGTCAGTATGGGGCCATAATTGGGCAATATTTGGATCGCAGTGCCATCGAAAAGCACAGATTTGCGATCAAATGACACCAAACAAGATATTCACTCACAAGACCAAAAAGGAACGAGGGTTGTGAAAAAGAAGAAGCGAGAAAAGAGGAGGTTGCCGGTGTCGGCGAGATTCGGTGATCAGGTCCGAGTCTCCGTACGCGGGCGTTTAGCCCCGATTACTAAACCCCCGTGGGGTGAGCTTCTATAGAATTCACATTCCAAGCTGTTTGCAGACTTATTGCCATCAATTCGTGCGTATCGTGTCTTCTTGTGTCTTTCATAATATCCAAACTCCCACACTCATTCCCAACATCATCCCCAACATTATTTTGCTAACCCGATGTACCACACCATCTCCACTAGTCGCGGTCGCTTGTTCCTTAGCGACAGTCGTCGCAAACGCGGTGTCCCTTGCAGTACAGCTAGAGCCGCAGGCGAATCCCATAGGACAGCATCCTCCGCCCACGGTGTCGGCACAGTAAAACCAGCCCTGAGCGCAATGGTTCCCGCCAGAGTGTTCCGTCGTTGTCGTGACGGGCGCTACAATCGTCACGCCGTCTGATACGATGGTCGTCGAAGATGTGGTCGGACATGAAGTCGTATCGCAGTCTCGTCCGGTGCGGCAGCAGCCACCGTGGTAGACAGCAGAGCAAGCATAGAAACCAGTCGGGCAAACATCGTCACCGCGCGTAGCACTGGTTACTGTTGAGAGATTCGTAGGCCGTGCTGGCGGTGCCAAGCTATCGTTTGTTGTGGTCTTGCTGCTATGGGAAGGGGTCGTTGGGGAAGAAAAGGAAGCGGAAGTGGAAGTACTATCCTGCGGTTTGGTCGAGTAGGTCACAGTAGACAACACCACGGTCGAATGAAGAGTCACCGTAATAACACTGATGTATGCGCCTATTCGAAAAATTAGTAAATGCTCATTCAAAATTTCCAGTACAATCTGGGAACAAGAAAATGGAAAATGATACTCACATCCCCCTTCAACACAATCATATTCCGGAATACAACATCCACCGCCCAAAGCCTGTGAGCAGGCCGTATACCCACTCTGACACGACCCGATCATCCCAGAGCACGTCTTCCAGCTAGGACAGCAGCCCACATCGCCGTGGCCCGTATCTGCGACGATCTTGCACGTCTCCCCGGACCCACAGCAGCGATCGGATCGACCGATGGATGTGCACGCCGATGTCCCAGTCGGGCACTGGAAGTCTCGTTTCTCGAGAAGATTGTTTGCGCTGTGACTGTTTTCCAGGGCAAAGAATTGACTTTCTCCATCTGTGCCCAAGGAATATGATGGCCCAAACGGGTGCGATTGGGCTACAAAGCGCGCTGGGGAAAATCTGTCGTCAGGGAGGTGTCCCTCGGATATGTTCCCTGACGGATAGACATCCCCGAAGCTCCAATAGTCGAGTAAGAATTTCTCGCCTTCGTCGTCGCTCATTTTCTTCACGCCGAGGGCTGGTCCTGCTGCGAGTTGAGATGTTATAGCGGCATTGCGCTGTAGGATGAGCTTTGCTGGCAGTGATGGTGTATCAGCCTGTTTGGATTCGAGATCCGCTGAGGGATTTATATTTTCTGCTGAGACCAGTTTTGCAAACTGTGGTAATGAGCAGAACATGGCGAGAGCGTGGAGGAGCTGCATGCTGCCAATGAGCATTGAGACCAGGATAAATCTCGAGTTTGCTTAGGTCGAGACTAGTGGAAATAGTCGGGTTGGAGGCTAACTCGTAGTTGGATATTTGCTTCAGATGTGTGTTTCACTAACAGAAGCTGTGGATGAGCTGGTTGGGAATGAAATTTCGAGTTGGGTTGGTGGGCCCAATGGTGCAGAGTGCAGATATATTCTTCTGCCCCTTCAACATGTGATTCAGTCGAGTTTGACAGATCTGAGGGAAGACGTTTGTCGATCTAGGAATAAATTAGGGTCGCATTGGGCTTTCTATAAAGCTGCATGCGAAGGTGGCTGGGGGGGGGGGGGTTGCAGGAGGCGCACGAGGCGCACACCGTTATGCATTAGACATTTAGAAAGACATTTAGAAAGACATTTAGAAAGACATTTAGAAAGAACATATAAAAAAGGACATCCGGGGAGTGGTATTTTACATATAACATGCCAGCTTGCAGGACAGACAGGTCAAGGTATGGAGTACTCGTAGTCAGTTGGAACACCCCTATTAGCTGGTTCGTGTATTGGGGATTATCCTCTATCTCTATATTAGTCTACGTAAGAGACAGACTATTTTCAACTATTACCACTCCGAACTGAACAGGAACATCCCAACGCTAACTTCAAATGGGCTCATATCATTCGCAAAATCAAAGACCAAATACTAGTAGCACACCACAGAGTATAGCAGGGTATCGTCAGTAAATGACATGAGGGGCTCTCGCACAGGAAACACGCCAAAAGGTATCAAGGTAAATAAAATGACCAAAACCAAGGCCATAATGCGACGTCAAATGCAGTAACACAAAAAAAAAACGTGAATCCAATTTCACTTGCGCTTGGCAATGAGAGATTCGGCATAAAACATCGTAGGGTCAGGGATGATGAGACTGAGGATGGGATGCAGTGTGAATGAACACCCTTAGACCAATACAGGATCAGTCAGAGGGCTGTTCGGAGGTAGCGTTGTCTTCCTCCTCCAGCGATTTGGGTAGTGGCTTTGCCGCGTCAGAAGATAGCGACTTGGGCTCTTCTGCCTTCTCTGCCTCGTCTCCATTCTCCGGGGTCGCGTCCTTTTCACCTTCTTGCTTGTCATCATCACCCCCATCCTCATTGTTTTGCTCTGCTGCCTGCGCAGCAGCGGCTTCCGCCTCTGCCTTCTCCATCTCTGCATTGCGGGCTTGCTGTCTATCCCAAACTTCTTTGCGAATGCGGTCGTCCTTCGCGGTACGGAGACGCTCAGTCTCTTCGAAACCACCGCTCTTCTTCAACTTGCCTTCTTCGACAAATGCACCGAGTTCCTTCTGGAAAAGACCGATTCGCCGAGTCTCAAGCTCCTTCTTTCGTGCTTTCTCGGCTCGCTCAATGGCCTCAAGTCGGCTTTCGTGGTTGGGCTGCAAAGCACGGACTTCGCCCAAGACACCGTCCTTGGCTTTCATGGGGTCAATGGTCGGGTCAATTCCAAGAGTCCTGGATGGGGCGCGGACAGCGGTGCCACCGGTTGCATTCGTCAAGACCTGCTCCTTCGTGGCTTGCTCCACCAAGGCGAAGGTCTGAGTTGCCTTCTCGAGATCGTCTTGTAGGTCGGCAGCGAGGTCCTCCTGCATGGTAAGCTGGTCTCGTTCTTCGCAAACCAGCTGAAGCTCCTTTTCCCAGATCTTGGTCCAGATAGGCTTCTCGCGACCCAGGAAGTCCTGCATTTTCTTAATTTCTTTCATCACCATGCTAATGTCGCGGCTGACACCCTCCAATTGTCTCGGAAGAGGACGAACGCCGCGGGTCACAACATCCTTCCGAAGATCCTCAACCAAATCTTGAAGATCATCGACGCGAGCGACCAGCCGCTCAGACTCAGCTGCAAGTTCCTTCTTGCCAGTGTTAACGCGAGCACGACCAGCATCACCTTCATAAGAGGGAGTGGCAACGTCATCAGCGGCGGTCTTGACCTTGCTTGCCTTGGCACGGACTGCACTCATAGAACCAGTGATATCGGCAGTAAAGTTGGAGTAGGTCTGTCGCAGGACTGCCAAATCACGGCGCAAGCTCTGAAGCTCGGCAATTTGAGATCCACTGCCGGCAATCGATGCCTTAGAATTCCCTCCAATGGCAGCCGGACCAGAGCTGGCTGGAGAAGCAGCCAAGCGAGCGATTTCTTTGGCGGCTTCAAGCTGGCGATCGGAAACCCGCTGTATGATATTTCCTTGCCCATAAAGTGTCTCTTTGACGCCTTCGACCAGCAGGCGCACGCTTCCGAGGCTATCATCGAAATGTTTCTTGACCTCATCGAGGTTGTCAACGTTAAGCACCAAGACAGACCGATCCTTGACGTCGGCAAGATCTTCTAGTTCATGTCGGATCCCTGAAATTGGGTCTTGGATATAAATTTCAGGCAAATCAACGCCATTATCGTGGGTATTCCAGGCAAACTTTTCAATAAAAGCAAGCTGCAGGCGCCCAATCGTGAGCTCTGCAACGCCATCTGGGAGCACATACTTCTTAATTTTGCTTTTGTATTGTAGGAACAGCGTGAGCTCTTTGCCTGGTGAGGGTTGCTCAGTAGCAAATTGAATAGCTGATAGAGGTGTTGTGATTTCGGCGGACGGCCCGAAGGAGTCCGCCTTCGGGGTTTGGGGTGTTGGTTTCGCGGGCTCGAAAGCGTCTTCCAGTGTTGGCTTCTCTTGGGGCTGGGAAATTATCGGAGGAGGAACGATCGCAGATTCCACTGTATCGGCTTTCTCGTCAGGAGCATGCGCTTCGCGGGGCGCCTCGGATGATGCGGAATCGATCCCCTCTGGCTCTAATGGAGGTGCACCAGATGGAGGGGTGCGTTCTTCTTCCACAACATCAGGAATATTTGCGGGTGGAGCAGCTTGCGCACCCTTGGCGACTTCCTGTAAGCGGTTGTTGGATCGTTGTCTTGTATGGGCAAATGAGCCCCGCAGACGAACTGCGTTCAAGGATTCACGGACGTCACGACCGCGGTTGGGAATCGGAGAGTTCTGAGTAGGCAAGACAGGAACGCCGTTGGTAGATGTTCCCAAATGTTTTTGAATTTGATAAGCAGAGAAACGACGCGAGGCACGTCGCTCAAGCTCTCCACTTCTTTGCAAAGCCCCCAATGCGTCATCCTCCTTTGGTGGAGGTGGAGGCGGAGGTGCGGGGAACCCGGTGGGTGTAATATATGTTGAAGGCGCAGTGGCGTTGGGTGCGTTGGCTCGAGGGGTTGTATCATTATCGAAGGGGGTGGGTTGAGACAGCATTTGCTGGGCCTCTCGCCGCGATGTTTCTCTTTCAGCGTAATTTGTGCGCGGTTCGGTTGTCGAAGGTGCCGAGGAGGTTCGAGCAATGGCCGGTTGATCCTCCAGCGAACCACCGCTGCCATACCGTCGGTTCGATCTTCTGGGGGACTGGGCTGTCGACTGGGCTGTCGACGGCGCGGTGGATGCTGCAGCCTCATCATACAACTGACCAATTGCTTGCCCACTAGCGATACTTCCTGCACTGGCCTGCCGTCCTGGTGCGGGCCGGCCATCTTCGCGCTGGTGCCGGGACCTTAAGCGAGCTTGCTTCTTCTTCAGCCCTTTTAACAAGTTGATGATTATATCTCGGATGCGGGGCAGATATCTATCGAGGCTCTGGGAAGATGCGTCTTGACTAAGAGTGTCTTCAAGTATCGTGCGGAGCAGGTCTGGTACGGGACCGAGGTCTGAGGTGTCGACTCCGATGGCACTGAAGGCCCGACAAGCCAAGTTAAATTCATAGCCCAATCGAACGTATACATCCGACACATCATTCTCTGATGCTTGCTTCCGAGACCATTGGGTTAAGGTTTCTAGGAGCTGTTTCGTCGCAACCAAGAGGTGTGTCACGCTCTTTTCGATTTGGGATATCTGCTTATCGGGCTGTGCGGCGGGGGGAAACACCGGTTCATTAGCCATCGAAATGTAGGGAATTGCCAGACAGCCAGAGACTTACCTGGTTCTTGCTGGACTGGGATCGAGACGAGGCGGAGGAACTGCGGCCGGACTGCTGGGAAGCCATGGATGTCTCGGCGCTGCCAGACCCCGAGGGTCGCTCGGAGTATGTTTGTTGATCCAAGTGTTCAGGGTAGGGGAACTGGGTTCTTGAGACGCCTGAGGACTGCATGGGTATGATAGGCCAAATCTCCGAGGGAGTGAGAACAGAGAGTGAGAAATAGGGCAGAAGCGAGCGAGGGTGCCAAGCATGTGTGAAGATGATGCCCAGCCTCCTGTCAACTTCGTGCCTTACCGCACCGGAACCGATGATCAGCAGTGGTTTATCCCCCAAATACCATAAATACCATATATTACTGTATAGTCCTGTAACGATGTACAACAGACCAGGGCACCGCGTTATTCGAGTGCTCAGGCCGCAGTAGCTAGTACATATATGTACTTAGGATACACTGATCATTGGAAATTGACCTCCAATTTGATGCCATACAATCACATGCTTATACTACCTGTACTGATGAAAATCATAATACATAGAACATACAAATACAACACAACAGCCATAAAAAGGATTCGTCTCTCACCGCATCCACTGATAAGTACCCGATTGATAAGGGCCTTGCCTCTGTCTGTCCCTTTCGACTGTTCCACTTCAGCTCCACTCCGGCTCTATTTATATTCCTACATAGGACCCATTGCTTTGTAGAACAATGGATTAGGTCATTTATATTGCTATTGTATTCCTGCACTTGTTCAGATATTTCATACAGAATCCATTCGTCTCTAGGAATGGGCATCAGGCCCACCAAGCACAGCACGAACAACACTGCTCCAAACCACGGCAGCCCAACCAACGGTGAAGCCTAACTCTATCCTCGTCTCGGAGAACTATACAGGAGACTTTGTCAATGCCGCTAAAGATCTAAGAAGGCGCAAGAACTGATATAGGTGCGACCTGAGGTTATTAGGCCCAGTTGCTCCGTATAATATTGCTCGTTGTTAGAGCATCGTTGTGAG